CACCTCTGCAGCTGATCGCAACAGTTCTATTTTTCTGGACGCCGGAGCATGGCGGATAAATTCAGCACAGATTAACCCGTGCTGGAAAGGAAGTCGGGCACAGACACAAAATAAAACATCCGGCTTCTTTTCAAAATAAAACACTCCGTGTTTCAGGAGGATCGTATTTCACACCATGCAAACGGGCGGAGACGAACAAGTGAAAGGTTTTTAGACGTCATTTCACCCCGATGACACCATGGATGAGGAGATGCTGATTCTAGAAGTCTAGAAGTAGATTTCCTCCTCTGGAAGGACACAATCTACTGCTTATATGTCTATGTGTCTGTCTTTATAGAAACAACTCGTTATCCCGTGATTGCACATGAATGCGCGGGTTCTTGTGAGTTCTCCACCACCATGAAATTCGCCTCACCAACAGATGTAGTTGGAATTGGTGGATGGCAAAGATCGCCACTATTCCGGATCGGAGCAGTTCCAGATGCTGTGAAAATTTGGGGTTAGGGTTTAGTGTCGTTAAAATCTGTATCTGCACTGATCTGATATTGGTTTTAGTCCTGTGGATGTCAAAGCCCGCATATTGTCACAAATATCAGGACTCAAGAATTGAGTGCCCGTGCTTTTCTTTTTTTTTTTTTTTTTTTTTCTATATATTAGTTTGTAGATATTTATTTATTTTTACATGTTTTACGTTTTCCCTTTTTTTTTTTTTTTTACTGTGTTCTGCTTATTCATCTGTTTCCACTTGCTCAGACCTTATTGATGTATGCAATGCTGTATTGTTGTTATGTTCTAAAAATTGAATAAAATCTGATTATAAAAAAAAAAAAAGAATTGATTGCCCATTGGAGACCAGAAGCAAACTTAGTGGAGAACAGGATTCTTGCTTGGTTGGGGACCTTTTCCGGCCCATAAAACACCCAGCTGCTTTGTTTTAGTCACACTTCAAATGAAATGTGATTTTCACGAAACTCGTATGTGTCCAGGTTAAACTCGTAAACTCTGACAGAGCTGAAATTCAGAACTTGAGTTGAAACGTGGTTGAATATCACCGCTATGATTCCAGGTGTGTGTTGGGCTGACATCACTCAGGTGCACCAACAGACTCGATGGTATTCCTCACATGGAGTGTCTGAGCTCAGGTAGAGATAGAGAGTAAATGGGGGCTCTGAGGGGGGATAGGGGCTGTGTTTCCTGCAGAATAAACAGACTCTCTGAGGTCCCAGGGGTTCAGACGCAGAGTGAAATGTGGATTCTCCGACAGATTTAAAATCTAATGAACAAATATTAATGACATGCAAAGAAAAATATCAGTTTGGGAATAAACACATCACTAAGTCATGCAGAAGGAGCCAATCAAAACGGAGCAAAGAGAGGCATGAATGCTTTCTTTAACACAAATATTAGATTATGTAAGAAATCCTTTCAGTCCGAGGTGGAATCTGAGGAGCAGCCAGGCCAAGTCGTGTCAAGCCGTCAGCTCTTTTGGCGACTCGTCACCGTGCGGGTCGGAGCGTTTGTGATGGATGAACGCAGCTTGTTCATGAACGACTCTGAACACTGCAGCGATTTACCGTGCTTGCATCATGGCACAAAGAGCCACCAAGAAGCCCCATAATTCCTCTCTGTGGATGTTTTCTAAGTGTACATGGTGATGTGGTGGGCTGAGACCCAGAGTACTGTCTGTAAGGAGTCATAAAACCTGAACCAGATTTAGTGCAGGTTTTAAAAACACGGCTGTGTCGAAGCCTCTTTCACGGTTTTTGGGTTTCTGTTTGCCAAATATGCATCCGAGCCGCAAAATAGCCAGCATTTAATGTTTTTATAAAGATAAACCTCTCCTCTGCTGGATGGAGTCCAACCCATCAGCTCCATCTACAGGTGCCAGCTGTCAGCGTCACAGCTGATTTTACTGACAGCTGTAATGATTGCTTTTCATTTTCTGCATTTACTACAGTCTGAGAGGCTCCGCGCTGCGAGGCCAAAACAAAATGCTCATACAAGGAAGCGTCTGTGGTGGGATCCAGTAAATGTTGTCCTAAATAATTTCAGCAAAAACGTTGTCATGAAGGATTTTCTACCTGAACTCATTTACAGAGAACCAGGAACCTCTGCTGGAGATAATCGTCACTCTGAGACCATGAGGGAGAGTCTCTGAGAGCACGTAGACCCGCTGTGGGGGGAGTCTAAATTATCTGCATTGTTTGAAATCCTCATCCCTCTAGTGTCCTGTCAGACGAAGAACAGGGCGGGGGTCCCGTCAGACGAGGAGCAGGGCGGGGGTTGGCCCTGGCGACTGTAAGCGAAGCATTCCTGGAGGGTTCAGGACGGGGTTTCTCTTGACTCATCGTCCATCAAAAAGCTGCTGAAACGGTCCATTCTTCTGTCCTCGCGGAGAGCTACATTCTCGTGCTCTTATGTTGAAAGGTCCATCATCTCCCAGCATGCATCACTTCGTGTCCATGAGAGGGGCAGTCAGGTCAAATGAAAGGGATAGTCTCCGCAAAGTTGGAACTGGATCAAACTGACGTTCACTGATACAAAAAACACCAAATGAAATAAACAGAAAGACGTTAGAAAGAAATAAAAGAAATGAAGTGAAATGAATGAAGATGAACTGAAAGAGATTAAATTAAAAAAATGAAACAAATCCAATATACAAAGACACAATGAGGCTGAATGAGACAAAGATATAGAGCTTGAGACACAACATAAAATAAGATGTAATGAGAAGGTAGAGTTTGACAAAATGAGAGAAGGTAGAAAAAACTCACATTTACTGAGTGAGAATGAGACAAACCCAAAAACTGAGGCCAGATGAGACAAAGTCAGAAAATATGAAACAAAATGAGACTAAAATAAATGTTTACAGTCGGTCAGAATGAGAGAAAAAGGGATACTATGGGGAAAAAAAGAGACAAAATGACTAAATAAGGTAAATGAGAAACTGACACAAAACTGTGATTTATTCAGATAACATGAAAATAAAGATCAATAAAAAAATACTGAAATGTACAAAGAAAAAGACTGAAAATCATACTAACCAAACAGGCGACTACATATAATGTAAGTGTTCTGTGTGTAAAAAGTGTGTACTGTGTTTTAAGTGTACTGTGTGTAAAGAGTGTGTACTGTGTTTTAAGTGTACTGTGTGTAAAGAGTGTGTACTGTGTTTTAAGTGTACTGTGTGTAAAGAGTGTGTACTGTGTTTTAAGTGTACTGTGTGTAAAGAGTGTGTACTGTGTTTTAAGTGTACTGTGTTAAAAGAGTGTGTACTGTGTTTTAAGTGTAGTGTGTGTGTAGAGTGTGTAGTGCTGTATTTTAAGTGTACTGTGTGTAAAGAGTGTGTACTGTGTTTTAAGTGTACTGTAGGTATAGAGTGTATAGTGCAGTTTTTTAAGTGTACTGTGTTTAAAGAGTGTGTACTGTGTTTTAAGTGTAGTGTGTGTAAAGAGTGTGTACTGTGTTTTAAGTGTACTGTGTTAAATGAGTGTGTACTGTGTTTTAAGTGTACTGTGTGTAAAGAGTGTGTACTGTGTTTTAAGTGTACTGAGTGTAAAGAGTGTGTACTGTGTTTTAAGTGTAGTGTGTGTAAAGAGTGTGTACTGTGTTTTAAGTGTACTGTGTGTAAAGAGTGTGTACTGTGTTTTAAGTGTACTGTGTGTAAAGAGTGTGTACTGTGTTTTAAGTGTACTGTGTGTAAAGAGTGTGTACTGTGTTTTAAGTGTAGTGTGTGTGTGGAGTGTGTAGTGCTGTGGTGAGTCTCCTCGGGGAGCTGCAGCACAGAGCTTCTTTCTTCGCAGCACACCGACACTCTTCACTCTGTGTTTACTCAGTAAATTACTCTGAATGTCACAGAGACCACAGCTAACCGCTGAAGGGGGGGGGCTGTGCAGAGGGGGGAAAACTCAAAGTTTCAGATTTTAATGTTGAACAACAGAAGATAAAAAAAGGTAGAAACAGTGTTTTAATGTCCGCCTGTTCAGTCTGATCGCATCGATTTTATTCTGTTGTTTTTTTTAGTTAATTTGCAAAAGCTAAAATAAACACAATTTTAGCTGATCAGGTGTCCTGGTGTACAGGTGAGGGGTCAGAGTTCTGCAGGCCTCTTTGCTGTGAGGTATGTGTGTGTGTGTGTGTGTGTGTGTGTGTGGGGGGGGGGGGGGGGGTGTTGTCTGCAGGCAAGGGGTCTGCACACCTGTGCAGTCCCCCCCACGCTCAGCTCTGTTTGCTTTGACACCTCGGATGCTGTCTCCCTCAACAACACATCTGTCATCCTCTACCTCTACACACAGACACACTGCACACACACACACACACACACACACACACCAAACATACATAGACACACTGCACACACACACACACACCAAACATACACAGACACTGCACACACACACCCCGCTCACACCTCTTTCCTCTAACACACCTTTACCTCTAACTCCTAAGCAACAGATCTAAACTCTCCAGTCTTCTACTAATGCTCCTCAGTAGAAGGTTTACTAACCCACATGCTAACCTTATTGGATTAATGTTTTTTTAAATTGTATGGTACAATTGAGGTGTACAAAAACCCCACAAAAGATGTCAATATTTTAAGAAGTCATGACCAGTAAATTCACCTGCATGACGCCATCGTTAGTAACTCTGTGACCATAGACGGTTGCTCCCCTAAACTCTCCTGTCTGGTGTGCATTGAGCCCTTTTCAATGTCAACAGAAAGGACGGTAATGATTGTGATCTGATTATACAGCCTGATCATTTACAGTGTTGCAGTTCATTGTTGATTTAAAAGGAGGTCACAGCAGACTGAAGTCTCTGCTCTGTGTAGATCTGTATATAGATGTCCTCTGTACTTAAAACAGGGCTTGACAGTGCGACTGTTTCACTCTCATTTGCGACTAAAAATAGATGTGTGTGAATTGTAAAATGTATTTAGAGTCACATGTGCGCATAAAAAAATCAGCCAAGGTAACAAATGTTTTTTTTCCTGTAAATACTGTGGTGAAGTTAGTTTCAGGTTGGATATATTTTCCTGTAAATACGGCGGTGAAGTTAGTTTTAGGTTGGATATATTTTCCTGTAAATACGGCGGTGAAGTTAGTTTCAGGTTAGATATATTTTCCTGTAAATACGGCGGTGAAGTTAGTTTCAGGTTGGATGTATTTTCCTGTAAATACGGCGGTGAAGTTAGTTTCAGGTTGGATATATTTTCCTGTAAATACGGCGGTGAAGTTAGTTTTAGGTTGGATATATTTTCCTGTAAATACGGCAGTGAAGTTAGTTTTAGGTTGGATGTATTTTCCTGTAAATACGGCGGTGAAGTTAGTTTCAGGTTGGATATATTCTCCTGTAAATACGGCGGTGAAGTTAGTTTTAGGTTGGATATATTTTCCTGTAAATACGGCGGTGAAGTTAGTTTCAGGTTGGATATATATTTTCCTGTAAATACGGCGGTGAAGTTAGTTTCAGGTTGGATATCTGACGGACATTCTCTGAGGATCTACCGGTGTCTTCTCACTCTCCATAACTGGGAATAACAACAGCAGCGCGGTTAAATCTACCCGACACCCTCACTGTCAACGTCGGTGTTGAATAAGGGACCGTCAATAAATTTCTCAGAAAAGGCTGTTTTCCTTCAATAGCTTCCATGTCATGTGACCAATTGACCTAAAATTGATTTTAAATAATAGTACTAAGGTTGATCAATAACTTTTTCAACTTAGGAGCACATGTGCTCCTCGTGAAAAAAGTCAGTGTCAAGCCCTGAAAAACCTAGACTGGATTTGTAGAAAATCCAGATTGTATTGGAGGCATGTGAGCATCCATGATAGCCTGCTCTGACACGTATATATATCAGTCTATGACACTTGGCTCAGAGTACTGATGGTGCGCTCTGTAACAGTCTGAGTCACTGCGTGGGCTTGATCAGAAGACAGTGCCTGTGGTGTGTTCTGGAGCATGGAAAACCCTGATTGGCTGCTTGTTGTCTCTGAAGAGTTCTTCATTACTGTCTACTGAACTGTCTACTGCTCTACATCCTCTGTGGACCTGTTTCAGCTGAGACTCCTTCACAGGTTAAATCTACAACCAACTCCATGGTCTCTCTCTCTGATTCCTCCTTTGTTCTCTCTCTCATCTGTCTAACTTACCTGTCGAGGATCCACCTGGATCCCAGAGTGACCCGTTCTATGACCTTTGACCCCTCACACACTGAAATCCTACCCCAGAGCTCTGTGATGTTTACCTGATGTTTGGATAGATGAGCTGATTTAAGAGAAGCAGAGAAGAAACACAGAGTCCGATTTCACCGAGACGCCATCAATCTGACACAAACTCTGAAAACCTGCAGAACTTACCGACCCTCCTGTGGTTCACTGTGTACAATTCATTATGTAAAAATATAAACTAAGATAATAAAATATATGTTATATAAAAGTGAGGTCATAAATGTAAAATCAATAACATTTAATTTATGTAAGACAGATATTCAATAAAAAATTAGAAAATAAAAACTAAGAGTATAAAATCTATGAACTGATGAATCAGATCAATTCAAAACATACAAAGGACAACTTCACTAAAATAATACATTCAAAATTCATTCATTATATTAATACATGATAAGAATTGAAAAACTAACAACAAAGTTTTGAAAAATGTCAACCATAAGTGAGACAACAGAAAAATAAAAAACACTGAAAACTGATATTAATAGATTGCAAATATAAGAGTAAAATGTGTAAAATATATATTAATATATAAAATAATATATTTTACTTATGTAACACACGAGATATAGTTAAACGTATGCAAAGAAAAACACAACGATCAAAATAAGAAAAGGTAAAATATTTGAAAAAAGTCTCAGCTGCAGATTAATAAAATTAATGTTTGTCATATCTGAATTGATTATCAAAAAGGGATTAAGTGAAACAAACTTATGATTAATTTGAAGATAAACATTTAAAACTAGTACATTTATCAGGTTAAAACACAAAGCTTATTATCGTAGATAAAAACATACAATTAGAATGTTAAATATCGTAAAATGTTAAAATGAAGTCTTGTTTTTATACAAATATTTGTGTGATTTCTGTTGGAAATAAAATTTTTAAAAATTGTAGAATAAAAAGTAATGTGTCATAAGATGTTGAATGAAACAAATGTTACACATAAAATGTTAATTGAACAAATCAAATGTATGGTATGAGATCTCTGACACTTCCATCAGCTGAGAAACTCCAGTTACTCTCCTCACAGCGTGCACAGACTCGCTCTGATCATTCCTTCACAATGGAGGACATGGATCCACCTCCTGTGTGTGTGTGTGTGTGTGTGTATTGCACTCTCTTGTTTATTAATCACACATCATAAACACTCTTTATTGTGCTGTGAGGTTCCTCAGAGTGTGATCTGTAAATTGTGTTGTGAGTCGATAAAGCGAGTCAGTCTCCATTTCTCTATAACTCGACTCTGTGTTGGACACTGTTCACATGGATCTGATTATTGAGGTAAGCTCAGAACATTTCTGCACGTTTAGTCATGAATCAAATGTTTTATTTTTATTTTTTTTTATCACATTCAGAACAAGATCAGTCAAATGTGTCATTTTGTTTTGAGAAAGTGTAAAAGGAAAGTAGGGAGTCTCTGTTTCAGATTTAGAGGGGTTTATAACAGTGATAGGACACGTTTGGTCTGAAGATCTGGCAGAACTTCTGTTTAGTTTGTCAAATCATCATCTACTCACCACCAGCTCTTCTTCAGCGTCCCCTTCACATCCTCTCATGGTCTCTTCTGGCTGAAGAGACCATCTTAGTGAAGTTAGGACCACCCTCATCATGGCTGGTCTTTATTTATAAACTCTCTGGTTTGGGGGTGTGGCCTCTGCACACCTGCTCAGGTTGATGGGCAGGTTGTGTTTGAGAGGATCTCTGGTATCTCTGGTTGTTTATTGATGCAGTTGTCAGTCACAGACGAGGAGGGGGTGTTATATGGAAGCCCCCTTCCCACCCTGCGGCGGTGCACCTGTCTGAAGCAGCAGCTGTGGGTGGGCGGGTCTTGGCTGTCAGAGGAACATTCCAGAGGAGAAGTCACCCTGTTAATCCCCCGAGTTTAGACCCCCTCTGCCTCCCCCATCCTCACCCCTCTGCTCTGTCAAAGGTAGACACTGTGAGAATGAGATTAAAGGACGAGTACCCCCCACATACACCCCCCCACAGAGGTTTTAATCCCCCCAAATATTCAGAAAGAAAGAAAGAAATTATTGTTACGTCCTGATCTGATCTAGAGCTTCAGTGAAAAACACAGAATCCATCAGAGAGACTTTAGAGGCTCGTATAACTTTATGTTTTTACACTTCAGAACCCCAATATTTATCTGAAATGACACAACTTTACACCACCTACCTTCAGTTCAGCAGAGAATCTAATCCTGATGAACCAATCAGGGTTAGTTTGTCTGTCACTGTTGGTGAATGTCCTAATGAGCGAAATAAACATACACTCTCTGAACAGTGATGTCCTGCTGTCTTCATAGTGCTGAGAACCCTGCGGTCATGTTCCATTGTTTGATTCAGAAGTTCTAGAATGTCGGGTTCTGGAATGTTGGGTTCTAGAATGTTGGGTTCTGTAGTGCTTTGTTCTAAAATCCTGTGTTCTGGAATATTGGGTTCAAGAATGTTGGGTTCTAGAATGCTGGGTTCTAGAATGTTGGGTTCAAGGAAGTTGGGTTGTGACTGTTGGGTTCTAGAATGAACGTTCTAGAATGCTGGGTTCTGGAATGTTGGGTTCTAGAATGTTGGGTTCTGTAGTGCTTTGTTCTAAAATCTTGGCTTTTAGAATGTTGGGTTCTACAATGTCAGGTTCTAGAATGATGGACTAGGATGTTGGGTTCTAGAATGCGGGGTTCTACAATGTCAGGTAGTATGTAGGGCTTTGTTCTTGAATTCTGGGTTCTGTAATGTTGGGTTCTAGAATGCTGGGTTCAAGGAAGTTGGGTTGTGACTGTTGGGTTCTAGAATGAACCCATGTTCTGTAGTGCTTCATTTTAAAATCCTTGATTCTAGAATGTGGTTCTAGAATGTTAGGTTCTGTAGTGCTTTGTCCTGAAATCCTGGGTTCAGGAATGTCGGGTTCTAGAATGCTGGGTTCTAGGATCTTGGGTTCCAGAATGTTGGGTTCTGCAGTGCTTTGTTCTAAAATCATGGGTTCTGTAATGTTGAGTTCTACAATTTTGGGTTCTAGAACGCTGGGTTCTATGATCTTGGGTTCTAGAATGTTGGGTTCTGTAGTGCTTTGTTCTTAAATCCTGGGTTCTCTAATGTTGGGTTCTAGGATGTAGGGTTCTAGACTTTTTGGTTCTAGAATGTTGGGTTCTGTAGTCCCTTGTTCTCAAATCCTGGGTTTTAGATTGTCGGGTTTTAGAATGTTTGGTTCTGCGGGGCTTTGTTTTAAAATCCTGGGATCTGGAGAGCTGAGTTCCAGAATGCTTGAGTCTTGAATTCTTGGTCCTGGAATGCCAGGTTGTAGAATGTGAGGACCGGAATGTTGGGTTTTGGAAAACTTCTGGTTCTGGAGTGTGAATTCTGAAATGCATGGTTATTAGTGCTGTATTCCAGGACATGAAGCTCTGGAGTACAAGGGTTCTGAAATGTTGGTTCTGGAGAGCTTAGTTCTGGAATACTGGATTACAGAACACTGGGTCGGAAAGGAGGGGGTCCAAAACTTCAAAGTTTAGTAACAAAGTCTTGGTAGCCCTGGGTTCTGTCCACCTGCGTCCTCAGGTAGCAGACTCACCTGAGCTCTCCGGGTTTGGACCTCTTATTCTTTCTGACACTAATTTCTCCTGGAGCCGCAGAGCAGCGAGCAGTCCGACCTGTTCCTCCTCTCCCCGAAAAACACACAAACTGACCCTCAATGGATCTCTGTGCTCTGAGTGTGAGTGTGAGTGTGTGTGTGTGTGTGTGTGTGTGTGTGTGTGTGTGTGTGTGTGTGTGTGTGTGTGTGTGTGTGTGTGTGTGTGTGCTGGTTTTGGATGCTTTCCCTCCTTGGCTCCATCAGGGGAGAGTGTTTGGATAAAATCTGCTCCTGACACCTGTCCAACAGGTAAATGTGTTTATGAGGCTCTCAGGGGAGCAGAGTCACACCTGACAGACCTCAGCTCTGTGTGTGTGTGTGTGTGTGTGTGTGTGTGTGTGTGTGTGTGTGTGTGTGTGTGTGAACAGCGTAGTTGAAACCCTGCTGTGAGCTTAAAACCAGACTTGGAGAGTTCAGTGATTCAGAAGCACAGGGAGGAAATCTGAAAATCGAGCAGACTGTTTTTTTAGGCAGACCACAAAGCCAAGCTCCGCCCACAGTAAATCAGCTGATCTTAACATCAGCCCATATCAGCGTCTACACATCCAGCTGTAAAATGTCTGAATGTTTAATCTATATTTTAGCCTCTTGCATCCTCTGCATCCATCCATCTGCTGATACTGCTCTGCTCTGTAACCCAGGACCTTTGCTGCTGCTCTCCCTGCCTTGGCCTTGACGTGGGCTCTTCTCCTGTTACCCCCAATTTCCACTGCATCCGGAACGGCTACAAAAGGTCGTATCCGCCAATCGTAGCTGATCGTAACCATTCAAGTTACCGTGTCAATTTACACCGACTTCTTTCCGTTCCTCTGCAGATCGCCGGACTCCTCAGCTGATCACAAGAGTTCTATTTTTTCTGGACGCCGGAGCATGGCGGATAAATTCAGCACAGATTAACCCGTGCTGGAAAGGAAGTCGGGCACCGACACAAAATAAAACATCCGGCTTCTTTTCAAAATAAAACACTCCGTGTTTCAGGAGGATCGTATTTCACACCATGCAAACGAGCGGAGACGAACAAGTGAAAGGTTTTTAGACGTCATTTCACCCCGATGACACCATGGATGAGGAGATGCTGATTCTAGAAGTCTAGAAGTAGATTTCCTCCTCTGGAAGGACACAATCTACTGCTTATATGTCTATGTGTCTGTCTTTAGAGAGACAACTCGTTATTCCGTGATTGCACTGTTCGTAACACTACGAAATTCGCCTCACAAATGGAGCCGGTAGGAATTGGCGGACGCCGTTCTGGATTGGAGCCATTCAGGATGCGGTAAATATTGGGGGTTAGACTTGCGATTTCATGTTTTCATAAGGAACGGCAGGACACTCTCTCAACAACCATTCCTTCAAATATCACTTGGTGCATGAAAATGAAAACTTGAAAACTGATGTAAAAGTTCATCTTTGAAACAGTTGGAAGAGAGAGAGAAGTTTGCAGCTTTGACTTCAGTGGATTCGGCGTCTCTGTGACGACTTCTGTAAATATTTCTCTGCAGCAGTTTTTCTCGCTTTTCTTTATTCTTCCTTTCTGCATGGAGAAAGTCCTGAAGGAGGTCAGAGGTCATGGGGCTCTGATCCAGTCTTAATCTCAGTGCTGTGTGTTAATCCAGAGCATTGGGTGGATTATATCAGGCTGATGTGTTAATCATACCTGAGGCTGAGCGGGTCAGTGTGAGGTCAGCTACAGCAGAGTCTGTGTGTGAAAATCTGCAGATTAACACACAACAACCAGCAGCTCTGTGACACACACACACACACACACACACACACACGCAGAGTTAAATTTTCTCTGTTTCGGGCTCTGTGTATGAAAATGAAGTAGTGACTGCAACAGGAATGTGAATATTTCATGTAAACGGAGTTTGAGGTCAGTGAGAGTGGAGGTTTATGAAACTGTCGTCTGAGTTTAATTCAATTCTGTCATTTAGAATTATAGATATTTAGTTTTAAAACCAAGAAGACCCTATTAACGCGTTTTTGATCAACCAGACATTGGAGAAATCTGCAGTAGCACGTGGACAGAAATATCTGTAAGCATGGATGTAGCCTCAGTTTTTGCTTTGCTGTTTAGTGATAAAGGAAGAAATTGAAAATCGACCAGACGGATCAAAAAAGAAGTATAGAGTACACAAACTTATAAAAGATGTCTTTATTTCTAATAAACAGAATACATGAGGACATGATGGACGTCTTTAAGATCTAAACATTCATACAAACTGCTGTACAGAGGAGATACAGAGACAGAGTTATTTAACAAACCTCAGAGACATTCAGCTTTAAAAACAGGAAATCACAAACACAGAGCACACATACATTGTATGTGTTAATAATCTGTTTGTCAGGACCAACTCCATCACTCACACACCAGCAGTCTGTTTAAATATGTCTCCTCTACAGAGTGAATTTACATTAAAGTACAAAGTGCAAATACTAAAGGTTCATGATCGCCCGCTGCAGAGGCGGAGAGCGAGACAGAGAGAGAGAGAGTCTGTTCAGCCCTGTTTCCTCGACGGACCCTGAGGATGACATTCAACCACGTGACTTTATTAATAGACATAAACATCAATATTTCTCTATGAACAGTACATGTGTGTCTGGTTTTTAGTGGGGTGGTATTTTCTGATTTGAGCACTCACCAGTTTACTGGGAGATAAACCGTCTCCTGGTTTGGCTCCTGTCAGAGAGACAATGATCAAATATAAATACAGCTTAGATATCAGCATTTTTAATTCTCTCTGTCCTTTTCTGTCTCTTACTTCACTTTCAACAACTTCAACATGACACACAGAGAAAAGGCAGAAATGAAGACGAGAGCTGGGATCATGAGCTGCAGTCAGAGTTTATACATTTTCCATTAGCACCTCCTCTGTAGTTCTGCTGTTTATCAGTTCAAATAAGGACTAAACTTCAGACTGTAGTTTCTGATCTCAGTGCAGAAAATCAACAAATAATCTGTGTGATACGTCCACCAATCCAGGACAGTCATGTCTGAATCCTTCCACAGTAAACCTCTGTGGACTACAGTGAACTGCTCCAGGGTCTCATCTCCTGAGCAGGTCCATAAAACCATGGAAGACATAGATCATGCATTAAAATCATGTGGTGGACTGATATAGAAATGCAGGACTGATTGCACCCACAGTCAGTGTGTTTACAGTCACAGTTTAATCAAACTGAGTTCGTAATTTCGGGGTTTTTTTTCACCAAATCAGACTTCTCTCCTCGTCCTCGTTTACATGCAGCTGAGAAAACTGAATTATTGACGTGAACGTGTCCTCCTCCCCAACACTAGGGGGCGATATGGGTCTTTTCAGACAACCGTCAACAACAACAGCAGGTCGGTGTCAGACGTCAGAAGTGTCTACAACTGCTGCTGGGCATTTTGGAGAAACAAGAAGATGGAGCATCGTACAGCGTTGTTTTTGTCCGACATGATGGACGCGCTACTTTTTCTAAAGAGGAGACCAACGCTACTCCTCTACTCTGGGGGTTTTATTCCGGGATCATTGGGGCGTGGTGCACATGCACATGCATTGTCCGATCATACTCCAACTACGCTGGTTACATGGTAGAGAAAATCAAATTCCAATCGCATTATCTGGGTGACTTAATCGGAGTTCTCAAACTCTGATTATAGTCAGACTGAGGTGTTAGCGTGCACTTCAGATGTCTGGTCTTAATAACTTGGTTTTCTCGAGATACAACACGTGACAATGACACGGTACAGTTGAGCGAAGGTTAGACTTGGTATGGCAGTTTAAGTGGACTACTGTCCTTGTCCAAGTTTATAAGCACAGAGCAAGAATCCACGTGTTGTCAGATGCATTCCCGCCTCTGCTACAGTAGGTGGCGACATGCCCCCTTTCGGCTCGTCATCTACTTACTACGTTGTCTATAAAGACATCTGACAAAACAAGTGGCGAATGTTTTGTATGTTGAGCGATGAAAACATTGTCCCTTTTCACGCCTTCAAAAGGACAGCTTCGTCTTTTTGATATCGTCTTCTTTTGTCCAGATTTTGTTTACTTCCCTGTCTCCTAGCAACACATGTATGCTAATAGAGTTTGTGCAAATTCCGGAACATGTGAACGAGAACTTACAAAAATAAACATCTCAGAAAGAAGTCAGTGAACTGTTTACCTGGACTTCGGTTCACTTCAGGCTCACACCTGTAAGTTTCATTTCACTGATTTATTTCATGACCAAAAAAACAACTTCCTGCTGACCCTGAGCTGTAAGACATCTGGTTCAGTATTTTTCACAGTCTGCTGTCAGGGTAACCTCAGAGCAGTGTGTGTGTGTGTGTAGGTGTGTGTGTGTGCGAGCTCACCGTCCTCCTTGGTGACCCCTAGGCAGCCCATCAGCTCCTGCAGAGACAGCGCCTTGTCGTTGCTGACGTCGCAGTACTCCACAAACTTTTTCACACACTTCTTCGGCTTCGACTTTTTCCTCAGGAAACGTTTAAAAGGTTTAATTTCCTTCTTCCCGATGTCTCCACTCGAGTTCTTGTCCAGCTGGCTGAAGTACCAATGGACCACCCGCTCCTCCAGGGTGTGGCTAGGGTCCGGCTCAGCCATCCTGAACACACAAAATGATTCTATTAGCTCATTTCTTCATCGTGTTATCGATGATCTTTGATAAACAGATACTTGTTCAATCGTCTCACCTCCCAGCAGACGCCGGATCTGTGACTGCGTGCACCATATCTGTTGACAGCGCATCGAGGACGCTTGTTAGGAACTCGGTTTTCTTTGCCCCAGGACACCCTAAACAGAGAGCACAGATACCAGAGAGTCTGCAGGTGAGCATAACCAGGTCTAGATAGAGGAAAGAACAATTATCCTGCAGGTAACAGCACCGGAGAGGAATGCTGCGTCATAGGTGGCCTCATAAATGTTTATGGAGGGACGTCATGTGACAGGCAGTGTGTTTAACATGAAGGTAACAAGCGTCTGTCAGTGTTTCCTCCCGCTCATAAAGAGCTCACCTGCAGGAGGAACTCAATACCTGCCAATCATCCTGAGAATTTTATGTCTTTACAAGTGACCGCAGTTCCCCACTTCATCCACAAGGAGCATCGTGAGAGCTGAAAAATGGTAAGGTAAAACCACACGAAGAGAAAACCAGATATAAACACCAACCAGGAGGAACACCTGGACTTCGCTGGACCTGAGCCTATTTCAGATGGACTGAGGAGAGGAGGGAAACGGGTCTGTGGTCTGATGGATCAAAATTTGACATTCCTTTTGGAAATCATGGACGCTGCATCCTCCTCTCAGAGCACACTGTCCACCCGGCTTGTTCTCAGCATCTCAGAGTCCATGTCATGGGTATCTTCAACATCTGTGAAGGCTCCATTATTGCTGAACCTTATCTACAGGTTTAGGAGCATCAGGACTCTGTAGTTGCAGTCATTGCATTGGCTTAATATCACTTGTCCGTGAACTGTCCTGAGGTCGGATGAATCAAAATCTGACACTCAAGGACGACTGGACTTACTTTCAACGAAGAATTAGGAATCATAGATGCTGCATCCTCAGTCTGCTGCCATCCAAACAAAGACTTTTTCAGGGAAGACCTTTATGTGATTCCAAACTACATTCTGACAACAGGGATTACAACGGCATGGCTCTGTAGGAGAAGATACCTGCTGAGAAATTAGACTGATGCGGCCCTCACTGAAAACATTTGGACCATCGTGACCCCAAAAACTGTTGAGCAGCTAAAATCCTCTATCAGTCCAGAACAGTGGCGGCTGCTGGTCTTTCAAGGAGGGGAAGCTCATTTTTCTGGCCTACATCATAATTGTATTTGTTTATTAGTATGTAACAGAACAGAGTCGCCAAACACAACGGCAGTCGTTTTTAACAAAGACAAAAGTCGCTGAGGATCGGTAAAGTCTCCGGAGCAGTTAAGAACAACGGAATGAATGACTGGTAGATGTTTTATTCTTCAAGATCGCTGATTCGCTTGTTTAGCTGTCAATCAAAAAAGGATTTCGCATCAGACAGCTCATCCAATCATGGATGCAGAAGCTTGGAGTCCGGGAGAAAGTCGGGACCGCCCTCTCGCCATAGAACTCCAGTGAAGCTTAGCTTCCATTGGGCGGGACAAAGCCCAGCATTTATCCAATGAGCGTCTAGTTTCGCTGCTGGAACAACCCACTTTAAGCTTCCACATTGAAGTCAGCAGAAGCCCAGCGTCCGGCTGTTTAAAGCGCTGAGGCGCTGCGAGGATGAATGAGAACGAAGTTATGCCGGTTACCTGTAATTATCAGCTTCTTATCACAGTGTCTGAACAAAAGATGAAGGCTTTCTAGAGCGTATTTAGTTAATGAAATGTACACACAGCCGTACGTATTTCACCACTTCTTCTTTTTTTGGGGGGGGTGACATTTTAAGGGAAGCCGAGCTTCCCTTGCAGTCTTAGAGCAATCGCCACTGGTCCAGAATGGGACTCCAGAACCTGGTCTGCTGGGTTCACTAATGTCCACAGAGTGTTGGAGAAAGAAGAGCTGGTAGTGATGTTCCTGTCCCTACTTTATGGAAACATGTTGCTGGTAAGAAACTAAAAACAGTCATATACACAGTGTCCTATAACTCTTGTTGAACTGGGGTTGTATTAATGATCCACAGTTGAAACAAACTCAGACTCAACACTCATCTGCAGCGCTCTTCTTCTACCTTCATTTATTCATTTGTGAGCGTGTTTGACTCGAGCGTCAGCCTGATGGTATCCCACGATCCCACTCAGGGAGAAAAAAAACCTCTGCAAATACCACCCCCTCATCCCTCTGGCCAATAAACCTCTCAGCAGGGAGCTCTAACAGTAAACATGTGTAATAAACATGTTTCATGCAGTAACAGGTTTACAGCTGCCGTGTTAAAGCTCATAAAAAGAACAGCGCTCTGTGTTCCTGAGTGTATAATCAGAGATTCTCTGACAGATTTAGAAGAAAGTCTGCGTCACTGAAGGAGAGGCTGAGTCAGTTCATTGTTTCACTGTTTAGAACTGTCGGGTACGGTCTATTTACTGGGACAATTGTGGCCCTCTGGCATTAGTCACTGTGTCCTTTTTTACTTTACATTTAAGACTCAGGAGAGACACAGGACATAGACGGTCCTGTTCATTCACAATGAATGAATAACTGAATGAATGGATGAATGTTCACCTGCAGCACCTGTTCACTCTGTGTTATATAACCAGCAGTGAACAGAGCAGCTGTGTTCAGGTGATGTTGGATTATTACCATGTTTTAAAAACTCCAGAGCCAGACAGACTGAGACCAGGATGCTTCTCGAGTCCAAACTCAGCTCAGACACAGCTTACAGGTTTTTTACCGAGTTTAAGGTGAGGGAGGGAGGAATCCGTTAAAGTAGCATCTTTTTTGTGGTCTATAAACAAAAACTCTTCTAATATCAGTCAATAGTTATTAGTTATTGATGACATTTGGTAATATATCGATATCTCTGTGTTCTCTTCTGTCTGTGTCGTCAACATTTGAACATTTTTGAGCGGTCCGCTCTTTCTGACTGTAAACAAAGCCGTTCTCCACCTCCTCTAACCTGATTGGTTGTGAGGCAGACGCTGCTCCCCCATGTCGTTCAGGAGCCCAAACAAAGTTAGCGTGCTACAATATCGGACAGTAGAAACCAACCAGAAAGTTCGGAAAATTGTCTGAATCCTCCTTTGGCCACGACTGCCGACACAAGCAAGAAAACACTCAAACATAAACAGTCAACAAGAAAACAGTCAACAAGCAAACGTCAACTATAATCAGTCAACAAGAAAACAGTCAACAGGAAAACAGTCAACCATAAACAGCCAGCAAGAAAACAGTCAACCCCAAAACAGTCAACCAAAAACAGTCAACAGGAAAACAGTCAACCATAAACAGTCAACAGGAAAACAGTCAACAAGAAAATGCTGCTCCCCCGTGTCGTTCAGGAGCCCAAACAAAGTTAGCGTGCTACAATATCGGACAGTAGAAACCAACCAGAAAGTTCGGAAAATTGTCTGAATCCTCCTTTGGCCACGACTGCCGACACAAGCAAGAAAACAAAGTAAATACCGGAGACTCTGGAGGAATAACGGCGCTTAAAACGGAGGTAGACCGGACAAGAGCTAAAAAGCCGGGTCAACATAAACGATGGGGGACGCTTGGGGATCTTGGTGACCCTGTAACCTTTCTGCTGGACAGGTAAACCGCTTTAACAAAGTAAGACAAGTGTCTGTAACAGAAGTGTTTCTTGTCAAACGGACCTGCTGTAGCGTGTTGTAGCGCCATCGCTAAACTGTCCTCCCTCGGGTCCTGGACTATGTCACTTTATCCTCGTTGTAGAAGTCCTGCAAACATTGTGTTTGCTGGTAGTCTGTTGGCATCTACAGTAGCACCAATGCTTTTGACTTTCACCTTGACTGGGCCCCATTTGTAATGATCTGAAGTATTTATCTGCAATGTTCTTCCTTGAGCTGCGGCACCCCGCTGTAGTCTGTAATGGACTGGCCTGAGGTCTCGCTACAAACAAGTGAACAATTTGCTGGAAGAGAGTAGGTGAGTTGTGTTTAGTCTCTTTGCTAAAGAAATGAGTCAAAGTTAAAAAGATGTTTGGTGTCTAGTACTATGTCTGTGACCCTATATGTCCTGTTGATGAAGTTAGGTGCTGTTCTGAGCATTATTTGTGGCTATAGAGTGGCGTTTTGGTTGGGGGCGTGTCTCTCTGTATTTCTATCCTGCGGTCGTTACTAAAGTTGGTATAACTAGAGAAATAAGCGGTCGACAACATTCCTCTCTGGAGGGGGGGTCTAACTCAGTGTTACGGTGTGTTTGACCCTAAATTAATTTTATGCCGGAATATCCCTTTAAGGACTCTCCAGGTTGAAGGAAAGCTATGCCTGTGTCTCTTTATAATGTAGGTAATCATGCTAGAGCCCGAAACCGTGTGAGTGCAGACCAGTGATGGAATTATGAGGAGGGACCATCGTACTTAAGCATGGTAAGGGTCAACTGGGCCGAGTGTGAGTGCGCCCGTAATGAGGGGCCCGGCTGTAAATTGAATACCAGTCTTTATTTGAGGATTTACAGTAATTTCTGCAGAGAGGGACTAAGAACAGCCGGCGCCGAGTGTTGAAAACTCTGATCTGATTGGTTCATGTTGAAAACACTGTGGGAAACACAGTTAGTGACCACAGCACTAACTCCCTCAGGTCAACAACACATGATGGGCGTTTAAGACCCATTTTCATGGTGAACTACAAGAGGGGTAACCCCAGTCACCGCTAACGCCTACCCCACAAACACGTGCGTGCACACACTCAGAGTTACCCTGCAAATGGCGGCTCCTGTAGTGATCTTTGGGTTTGGTCGGATGAGCTCGGGCGTTCCCATCACACTTGGGCTGTTCATACCTGAGAGAGAGAGACACACACAGGTGAGTAAACACATATTCAACACACACACACACACACGTTTGTACAAACATTTATATGGACTTACACACAAACTGGTGTAAATAGAGTCAGAGTGTGGTCATGGTGAGTGATGGAGTGTGTGTTCTGTTATTATGAAAGAGTTTGATCTCAGGGATTAAAGAACAGCTCTGTGGACCACTTCCAAAACCAGGAGGAGGGGTGAGACAGAGGGAGACAGAGAGCGTGGGACACGGGGAGTCTTCCTGAGAGAGACAGTCCAACTCACTGCTCCGAGACCGTGTGTGTGTGTGTGTGTGTGTGAGTGTGTGTGTGTGTGAACTGTTCTCTCTGACTCTGTCTGCAGTCCCATTAATCTGATCCTCTCTGCGCTGTAAGAGACAAACACTTCTCACTGTGCTGACTGACTGACCTTTGACCTCCCGGAGTCCCTGCAGAACAGACACATCTAGGCCTGTGTGTGTGTGTGTGTGCGCGCGCTTAAGAGTGTCACACACCAGCAGGTTTTTTCATACAGAGAAACTTATATACGGTCTGAAATAGGGACGGTAATCAAACCGGTTCCAGCTAGTCTTAGCCGTTGACGTCATTTGTCTCTTTGCTTGTTTCCTTTATTGATGCTCTCCTCTCGGCTCCAAGTGCTTTAAAAAAAACACAGATTTGATGCAAGAGGCAGGCAACGCGAACAACAACCTAGGAAGTAATCATGACAGAGGAGGACCAAAACACTGTGTTACAGCATCAATGATGTGACGTGCTTCCATCGACTCATCTTGATTCGTGAATCCTGCAGCTTTTTGGCAATGGCCAAACTGAGAACAATATGAAGAGATGGAGGTTGTTGTATTGGAACCCCAAAAGAACTGAAGACTACTTTCCCCTTTGGTTAATTTATAAGTTTTAGTTTGAAATAGAGAATAAGACCATAATACTTCACTTAATTTGTTGCATGCAGTACATCATTTTTGACGGTATGGACGCCCTTCCACATGTGAATGTGGAATACCAAAGCCTGACCCCCAATTTACACAACATCCTGAACGGCTGTGAAAAGGTTGTATCCTCCGATCGTAACCATTCAAGTTAACGTGTCAATTTACACCGACTTCTTTCTGTTCCGCTGCAGATCGCGCGACTCTGCAGCTGATCGCAAGAGTTATATTTTTCCCGGACGCTGAAGCATGCCGCTTATATTCAGCACAGATTAACCCGTGCTGGAAAGGAAGTCGGGCACAGACACAAAATAAAACATCCGGCTTCTTTTCAAAATAAAACACTCCGTGTTTCAGGAGGATCGTATTTCACACCATGCAAACGGGCGGAGACGAACAAGTGAAAGGTTTTTAGACGTCATTTCACCCCGATGACACCATGGATGAGGAGATGCTGATTCTAGAAGTCTAGAAGTAGATTTCCTCCTCTGGAAGGACACAATCTACTGCTTATATGTCTATGTGGCTGTCTTAATAAAGACAATTTATTATCCTGCGATTGATTGCAATCCGCGGGTTCTTGTGAGTTCTCGCGATTACCGCCATTTGTAATCCGCCATGAAATGCCATGGTACAAGTTCCAGATCCAAGGGATCTGGTAGGAATTGGCGGACAGTGAAAATCTCTGCTGTTCCTGATCTGAGTCCCTCTGGATACGTCGAAATTGGGGGTGAGGAGGGCAGAGCACACCTCCCTTGTTCCATATATGAAAAGCAAAGACAGGGAGAGCAGCAGCAAAGACGAAGTACAGAACAGAAGGTATCAGAGACTAAAATCAGACAGCTGAAAAAGAGGAGCAGGGGTGTCTGCAGGTGTAGGCATGTGATCCACCTGATGATGTATGTGTGTGTCTGTGGGTTTGACGCCACACACAGAGTCTCCTGTTAATGTGTGTGTCAGCACTAGACCACAGACCGGAGTGTGTGTGTGAGAGTGAAGCCTGTCCCACCTTGTGGAGGTCCCGGGAATGGGCCGACCCGTGTCCACCAGCACACACCAGCAGTAGCCAGTCGAGGGATGACACTGCACTGGTCTGTACAAACCACCGTGAGAACAATCGGGAACAAACACGGCATCGTTCTTATGCTGCCGGGCCTCCTCCTGAGCTGACTGCTGCTCCTGGTCACATGACGAGGCTGAGAGAGGGGTCAGAGGTCACACAGGAGTCACACCAACAAGAACACACACATCTGATCAGCTGTAGGGATTCTGGTAAAAACTGAGAGTTAAAGCCACAGGCTCTGACATGGGATAGTTCGATTTTAGTTCTACTTAAATATCTAATCTCTGTGAGGGGGAGGATATATGTGTGTGTGTGTGTCTGTGTGTGTGTGTGTGTGTGTGTGTGTGTGTGTGTGGGGGTAGGGGGGGTGTAGACATCCCCCCTCTCTGTTTACACACATTAACAGCAGAATGACTAAGTACAGCTCCTAATGCCCAAAGTTCAATAAATATTTACACACTTAGCTGCCCTGTGTGCATGTGTGTGTGTGTGTGTGTGTGTTTGCTGAGAAGACGAAGTGAAATCACACACATACACACACACACACACACACACACACACACACACACACACTTGGTAAAACAGCAGCATCTTTATGTTGAGAGAAATCCCAGAGACCTCGAATCCAAAAGATGGAATTGTCTCAAAAATACTTCGCGAACAACCAATCAGGTCAAAAGTTCTTATTGAGGAACAACCAATCAGGTCTTTGCATTTCTTACCCTCGACTCTATAGATATAGATTCTCAAACCATCAAATCCTTGGGCCAGTGTCTACAGAAGTGGGTTTGTATTCCTCTGTGGGAAACACGAAGAGGAGTGAGTGATGAGGAGGAGGAGGATTTTTCCATCAGGGTCTAATCAGACTTTGATTCTCCCTCCTGCAGAGATTTGGTTCAAACTTAAAAACCTTATTCTCATCGTCTTTCCTCGCTGCTCGCCTCCAGTCCAAGATGCTGCAGGGGTTTCTGGGTAAATCTTGCCTTTGTTTATTTTCATCAGAGATGTTAAACCACACAAAGAGAGCGAATGAAACGCCTCCTCGCCTTCCCGCTCTGCTCCACTTCCTCCGTATGGACGACCACAGGCTAATCAGAACCATCAGCCTGCATTCTCAGGCTGCTATTGGTTTAAATTATGATAATGGGATTCACACACACACATACACACACTGTGAAAGCAGCAGATTTCCTCACAGAGGAGCTGATGTGTTTTTTTTTAAAGAGTTGTGACAGATGGGATTTTGTTTCAAACCTTTTGACCACCTTCAACACACCGAGATTTCTCAACCAGACAAGACAAACAAAAAGACTTACATGGAGTTCTGGTTCTGTTGTTCTGTCGGCTGCGAACCTGCTCCGTCCACAGGGTGGGATACTGAGAGGTGATGTCTGACCCAAAAAAAAAAAAACAATAACACACTGATCAGCTTCAGCAAAACAACCCCTGATCCGTACCTCAAAAACCACGGACTGAACCACCAAAGACTGGACTTGAGAGTGAACTGGGCAGGGGAAATATCCAAACCCTCAACAACAGACACTGCCAGAAGACTGATGTGTCGGAGTCACATGACACACGTTTTCATCTCAGCATCAAATATTTCAATCTGACTTACCCTCCTCATCAGCAGCCGGCTGAGGGTCCACCACCAGCCCCGTCTCATCTGCATTTAGAATGGAGAAGATTTGCAAGGAGACTACAATTACCAGAGTTAGCTCCATACCTGAAAACAACACTCTGACAAAGATTTGCACGTTGCCCGACAGAGAAGAACTGAGGAAGAGAAGAGGAAGCTTAAGGAGAGAGATGAGAAGGTAGAGAGTTTAGTGGTTAATGTTCCCATGGTGACTCTTCATAGTTTGATGGAATCAGATCTGTACTTCAGTGTAAACATGTCATGTTCTGATGTTGTATTTCCACTCCATCCATAACACCAGAGAGTAACCTCTGTAAGAGTATTCTTGAGACTCTAGACAGCTTCTTTTAGCACTTTGGGAGACTTGGCCTAAAACCTGACGTCAGGCTCTGCCGTCCCATCACTGAAGTGTTCAAAGACACGCCTACCGGGCAGCTTTGACGTCTATCTGAAAGCTGGTCTTATGATACTTCCATCAAGCAGCTGATTCACTGACAACCCTATCTGTCAGCTCTGGCAAAGACATGCCCACCTGATGAATCTTCATAGTCAGGATCTACGCTCACCTCGTCGCTCTGGAATGGTCATGCGCAGTTAGGAATCCTTGAAAGACACGCCCCCTGGAAGCTTGTTCTAGGACATGCATCCAGCAGCTAATTCTTGGAAACACTACCGGTTGGCTCTTGCAAAGACACGCCCTCTTTGGAGCTTGCTGTAAGACACGCCCATCTGGTATATCTGGCAGCTTTTATAAGGACATGCCCACATGTAAGCTCATTTAAGGACACACCTACCCAGCAGCTCTTGCAAAGACATGCGCCCGAGGAAACTAGTTCAAGGAGGTGCCCACTGGGCATCTACTGCGAGGACATTCTTACTAAGGAGCCAATACCGAGACATGCCCACCCAGAAGCTCATTTAAGGTAACACCCATCTGCCAGGTCTTGCAAGCATCAACTGACTCAGAAGCTCTTTCAGGAACGAACTGAAATCCCCCTGAACAGTCCATGTCGCCACCTTGTTTGTTAGTTTGCACTCTGTTGGTCCAGTCCGTCTCAAAAGTCTCAGTCTGTTTTTAGTCCTGAAGGAAAGTCTCAGCTGTTTCCTCAACGATGAAGACTCCAGAAAACAGCAGGAAGTTTGGATGTTTTCAGGATGCTATGTTTTCATCGTAGCTGTTGGTGATGGGAAGAACAGTTCTTTTGACTCTACTAAATCTTTAGAATCCGTTAATTAAAATGATTCGTTCAAAAGATTTGTTCACTGTATCAGTCAGTGCTTCGGGGCCTTGTCCTGCCGCTGCAGTCAGCAAATCACGAGACTCCGCCCACCTGCTCACTTGCTGGCTGGCTGTGTGTCGTTCGCCTAAGAGTCAAAGGGGGCAGTTCCACTCCCAACCGGCATGCCAGGCTCGCGGCTGAGCCTAACTGAACTGTGAAAGGAACGAATCAGGCCCGGAGTGATTCCATTCACTCACCAGCTCCGTTCTTTTGAACGAAACGTTCATGAACGACAACACTACTAGCTGTTAGTGCCCGCCACTTCACTGAGGACTCCTTTGTAAATAAAGACCAGGATCAGCTGGATCTGAGTCTCAGCTGTTACTGAAGCCTGGAGCTGGTCATCTCGAAAGACCTTTGTAAAGCTCAGTGCAACAGTGAAACAGCAGACAGTGTAACTGTAGCTGACATAGAGCTGTGTAAAAAGTAACACCCCCACGCTGTCTTAGATCTTCTGAGCTCAGTTTGTATGATGACGACGAGGTTGAAGGTTCAGGTGAGTCCAGAGCTACAGGTAAGTAAGTGTCTTTATAAAGTTATTTCAGTTTGATGACCCCCCCCGCCTCTCTCTCTCTCTCTCTCTCTCTCTCTCTCTCTCTCTCTCTCTCTCTGTGAAAGAATGGTAAAGCTGTTTAAAAACAGTTTTTATGATGTGGATTTCTGATGGACCACTAATGACCGCCTTTACTCTGTGGCCTCTGACATGACTCTAACACCTCTTTAAGGGTCTGCCAGGAAACACGCACACACACACGCACACACACACACACACACACACACACACACACACACACACACACACACACACACACACACACACACACACACTGTGGTTGCCCTGCATTACTTTAGCAGCTGTTTGTCTGTGGTTTGCTGAAGATGATTCCATCATGAATAAATGTGTTAAATAGAGTCACATATCATTTTTTTTAGTTATTTATATCTTTAATATTATTAATAGGATTATTTTCATCATGGTATTTTAACAACTGATGGATTTGGTTTAATTGAAATAGTTTCAGTCTCTGCTGTAAACACTGCAAATGAGTTTATCCTGCTGTAACCAACATGTTTATAAAACCAGCTCACACACACACACACCCTCTTAGATGTTGAATTCCCACAGACACATGCATCAGGAACCAATCAGAGTCAAACCAAACTAAACTTTAAAGAAGTCAGACAAACCAGAGGAGAACATGATCCACAGAAATTACACACACATTTGGTTATATATTACACATATCTAAGTGTGTGTGTGTGTGTTTGTATAGTGGTTCAGAGGCTGAAAAAGAACTGGGTGAGATGAGGAAAAGAGGAAGAGAATGATGATGATGATGAAGACAGTGATAAAGGGTCAGATAGCTGCCTGATGAAGACAACAGGTGAGTTCAGTCTGTATGTGCAGCTTAGACTCTACAACTGACTCAATATAGATCTTCACACACTAGATCACAGGGCTTGACAGTGCGACCGTTTGACTCGCATTTGCGACTAAAATTAGATGTGTGCGAATTGTAAAATGTAAATAGGGTCACGTGCACATAAAAAAAAATAAGCCGAGGCAACAAATGTTTTTTTTTCCTGTAAATACGGCGGTGAAGTTAGTTTTAGGTTGGATATTTTTTCCTGTAAATACGGCGGTGAAGTTAGTTTTAGGTTGGATATATTTTCCTGTAAATACGGCGGTGAAGTTAGTTTTAGGTTGGATATATTTTCCTCTAAATACAGCGGTGAAGTTAGTTTTAGGTTGGATATATTTTCCTCTAAATACGGCGGTGAAGTTAGTTTCAGGTTGGATATATTTTCCTGTAAATGCGGTGGTGAAGTTAGTTTCAGGTTGGATATATTTTTACTGTAAATACGGCGGTGAAGTTAGTTTTAGGTTGGATATATTTTCCTGTAAATACGGCGGTGAAGTTAGTTTCAGGTTTGATATATTTTTACTGTAAATACGGCGGTGAAGTTAGTTTTAGGTTGAATATATTTTCCTGTAAATACGGTGGTGATGTTAGTTTCAGGTTGGATATATTTTCCTGTAAATACGGTGGTGAAGTTAGTTTCAGGTTGGATATATTTTCCTGTAAATACGGTGGTGAAGTTAGTTTCAGGTTGGATATATTTTCCTGTAAATACGGCGGTTGAAGTTAGTTTTAGGTTGGATATATTTTCCTGTAAATACGGCGGTGAAGTTAGTGTCAGGTTGGATATATTTTCCTGTAAATACGGCAGTGAAGTTAGTTTTAGGTTGGATATATTTTCCTGTAAATACGGCGGTGAAGTTAGTTTTAGGTTGGATATATTTTCCTGTAAATACAGCGGTGAAGTTAGTTTTAGGTTGGATTTAATTTTTCTGTAAATACGGCGGTGAAGTTAGTTTCAGGTTGGATTTAATTTTTCTGTAAATACGGCGGTGAAGTCAGTTTTAGGTTGGATATATTTTCCTGTAAATACGGCGGTGAAGTTAGTTTCAGGTTGGATATATTTTCCTGTAAATACGGCGGTGAAGTTAGTTTTAGGTTGGATATATTTTCCTGTAAATACGGCGGTGAAGTTAGTTTCAGGTTGGATATATTTTCCTGTAAATACGGCGGTGAAGTTAGTTTCAGGTTGGATATATTTTCCTGTAAATACGGCGGTGAAGTTAGTTTCAGGTTGGATATATTTTCCTGTAAATACGGCGGTGAAGTTAGTTTTAGGTTGGATATCTGACAGACATTCTCTGAGGATCTACCGGTGTCTTCTCACTCTCCATAACCAGGAATAACAACAGCAGCGCGGTTAAATCTACTCGACACCCTCATTGTCAACTTCGGTGTTGAATAAGGGACCGTCAATAAATTACCGGTTGATGTTCTCAGTAAAGGCTGTTTTCCTTCAATAGCTTCACTGTCATGTGACCAAAAGACCTCAAAATGATTTCAAATAATAGTACTAAGGTCGATCAATAAGACAAACATTATTTGATCAATTTTCATCATGTCCCTAAAGTTTTTTGTGCTCCTTACTTTTTCAACTTAGGAGAATGTGAACAAAGTTAGTGTTAAACCCTGGATCATCAGATTTCTGACGGTTGAAGTCAAGCTCAAGTCCACCTTTACCTTAAGTCTCCACTCCTCTAAATTACGTCACATGTGCCTCACTCTGATTGGCTGTAGGTTTGTCCAGTCGGCTGTTGCTAATATTTCCTGTCAGATTGAAGTCAATCAAATGAGTCTAGTCTGATGAAACTAACTATTACTTCCTCCGTGTTTGTTCATTTCCAAAATGCATTTGCACCCGTGTGTGTTAACAAACATTAAAAGGGTCTATTAAAGAGACACACCCTGCACAAACACACACACAGAAACAAACACACATAGGTGGATGCATGCTGGGATTGGTACACACACGCACAAACACGTCAGCTAACATGCACACACCGATCTGTCCTCAGTCTCACCTGATTTACCTGGCTCTCTGGTCGTAGCTCTCTCCTGTTTAGATCCTAAAATAAAAATAAAAAGTCAAACTCAGCTTTTTTCTGAATATTGATGATTACTGTCAAGTGTCTCTGAATGTGTGTTTCTGACATTCACAGACAGGTGTCAGTTTGAACACACAGACGGCTGCTGTGAGTGTCTGTGTTTATGTCTCCCTCTTGTCTTTGTCACTCTGTGCTGCACAGATTTATCTCCAGGACGCCAAAGTCTGGGACAAATCAGACATTCAAATTGCGTGACCCACCTTGGCATCGTGGTTTCTTATTGGCCACTGCAGAGCCGCTGATTGGTCGTCCATTAGGGGTGACACACCAGCAGTAACCTGTGTAGCTGTGACACTGCACCTGAAGAAGAAGAAGAAGAGATGTGAACCATCAGACAGGAGGAGGACGGACCTCCAACATTCATTCTCGTGTTAAATCCCGCCTGTCATGTTTGGTTACCTCGCTGTACGTGCCGTCGGGGTTACAGACGGGAACAAACACCTGAGGGAACAGTTTCTTGGCCTGCTGCTCTGTGTACTTCTTCTCTGCTACACACCTGGACGTGTCTGAGGACGCACAAAACAACACAATCACTCCTCACACTCACACCTCCACAAACAGACACACACTGAGAGTCTGAGGAGGACAAAGATCTCATAGATGATGGAGGAAGACAGAAAAATGCAGCAGAAATGAGTCCCTGAGGGACGTTTGGGACACGGCTGGGAATCAAACCAGCACCCCGTCCTGCTCAGGGACACGTGGTAAAGACATTAAAGACATCATCCTGCAGAACATTCCAGACAGAAAAGGGCTGATTCTGGAGGAAAACTGACCATCCCAACATCTCTGTTAAAGTCCTCAGGTCAGAGCAAGTCTAAGACCGAGTCTCCTCGCAAGTGGGTCTGAAACGTTCATCTGTGCGCAGCTCACGAGTACGTGTCTGTGTGTGTGTGTGTGTGTGTGTGTGTGTGTGTGTGTGAGTGTGTGTGTGTCTGTGTCTGTGTGTGTGTCAAGATAGATCGATAAATACAGAATTTCTATCTATGCTGACACACACACACACACACACACACACACACACACACACACACACACACACACAGACTCAACTCATCCTCTAAGACCACAACCACCAGCTCCAGCTGTGCAAACCCCCAGAACATGAAGGGACTGTCCGTATAGTGTGTGTGTGTGTGTGTGTGTGTGTGTGTGTGTGTGTGTGTGTGTGTGTGTGTGTGTGTGTGTGTGTGTGTGTGTGTCACTGTCATAAGACACTGGATGTTTTGGACAAGGAGGAAACTCTTAATTTAGCTCTGGTGGAAAAACCTTCGTCGTCCCCTGAGGCTCTGAGCAGAAAAATGGAAAATCTGAGGAAGACTCCTCGTCTTCATTAGAGACAGAAAACAAACCAAGAGCTGTCTCACCGTCTTCAATCACAGACCGGTCTCTGAGACTGGTCTTCTGCTTTTAACTGTCCCAAATTAAAAAAGAAGGTTTATACAGAGGAGGAAAGACAAGAGCTCAGTTTGTCTGTTTCCATGGCAACCTGAGCTTATACCACTCCAAGCCTAAAGCTGTCTGAGACTGTAGTAGTCCCGGCCTGTAGCAGTCTAAGACTATAGTAGTCTATGTCTTCAACAGTCTAAAGGTCCTTACACACCGGCGAATTTGCGGAGCGAAGCGAAATAGTGAGACGAAAATTGCGAATATTCGCCGGTCCGAAAAATCGCTTTCGCCTATACACACCGGCCGCAATGCGAATATGCGTATATTTTTTGCAAAGCGAATTAATAAAGTCGCTTTGCGGCACGGAGGAGAGGAGATGCGGGGTGGTCCTGTACCGCAATGACCAGCCTCTCTCCCATCGTTGCTCTTGGTGCCAGTGATGGTGTGTGTCGTGTGAATGGCTGCTGATTGACATGTCTAGCATTATGAGCGAGGGAGAAAGAGGAGGAAAAGCTGTGAGAGACGCCGCAGCAGCCAGGAGAGGCGAGGGCTGAGCAGTGATCCTTCAAGTTGTCTGGTCATTCTGTTGGCCCTGTAGCTGCAGATCATCGGTATGTCAAACAGCTAAGAGGGAGAATCAGGCATGATGAGGTGGTCACCCTGTGAAGTGTGCATGACATCTGTCTTCTAAGGAAGACAAGAGAGTGTCATCTTGTGAGAAAACTACTTCATTAGTAATTCGAAAGAGTTTTGGATGCACCTCAGCTGTCTTTGTCTGCGTTTTCATAATCTCAAACTTCCCCCTCTCCTCCAGCCGTATGGGTCTGTGACGTCATCAACAACATGACTTTTGATTGGCCAGAGGTCTAGCAGGTCCAGATATTCGCCTGCGAATATCCGAAAAATTTGACACAGGAGCGAAAAAATAAAAGCGGCTTTTCGCCCCGCGGAAAAATCGCCGCCGGTGTGGAAGCTCGCATTGACTTTATGCTGTTTTCAAAAAAGGCGAATAATTCGCCTGGCGAATTCTCACCCGGTGTGTAAGGACCTTAAACCCTAAGTGGTTTGGGTCTATGGCAGTCTAAGCCTGTAGCATCTATGCTTAGATGTTTGAGCTCATTACAGTGTAAGTCTACAATAGTTTATAGCAGTTTTAGCGTATAGCAATCTAAGCTCATAGTAGTCCATGCCTACAGCAGTCTGAGTCTACAGCAAGTCAGACTTTTAGTGGTCTAGGTTTACATCAGTCCAAGTTGAGAGCAGTCTGAGTGTGTAGCACTCGAAGCACAAACACAGTCAGTACGTTTACAGTCACACTTTGACCCGACTAACCTCATAATTTTTATTTTCCTCTGAATCAGACTTCTCTCCTCGTCCTCTTTTACATGCAGCTGAGAAAACTGAATTATTGACGTGAACGTGTCCTCCTCCCCAACACTAGGGGGCGATATGGGTCTTTTCAACAACAACAGCAGGTCAGTGTCAGACGTCAGAAGTGTCTACAACTGCTGCTGGGCATTTTGGAGAAACAAGAAGATGGAGCATCGTACAGCGTTGTTTTTGTCCGACATGATGGACGCGCTACTTTTTCTAAAGAGGAGACCAACGCTACTCCTCTACTCTGGGGTTTCTTCTCTGATTCCTGAGAAGAGGGGCCTGATTACACTAGACTCTACCTTCCACTCTACTGTGAAGGTCTTTGGCTACAACAAGCAGGCCTTCATACTGGAGATTCAGAACTCTGGAGTACTCTAGGAGGTTCTTAGGATGGTCTGTCTGCCTCCCGTCACCTGTCTTCCCTTGTTTGTCGCCCTCATGGTTCTTCTCTCTTAATACCTTACATGTGGTCTCTTTTCACCAGTATCCAGCATCCTTCAGACTTCGTTATTGATGCTTCGACCAGTTTTTTCATGGACTGTTGTCTCTTTCAGCGTCCTGGCTGGAAGTCTCTTTTTTTCAATTGCTGCAGCCACGTCCAGATGTCCTTTTCAAGACATCGCCATGGAGACCCAGCACGGGGAAAAATGGAGCAACAGTTTTTATACCAGGGAGGAATTCTTTTTAACAAGCAGCCGGTGCAACAAGCAGCCGGTGCATTAAAGAGCTTTAAGTGTGAGAGGGAGTGAACAGAGGAATGAGCTGTAGTCAGTGTGTGTGTGTGTGTGTGTGTCTTTGGTGGACAGGGGGTGATCTGCATGACTTCCTTCTAGCTTTTCATCTGCAGATGTTGTTTCTGATCTTCATGAAACCATTCGCTCTTTTCAACAGGCTTCATTCAGACACTCGACTCTGCATGAAAATCTCATTTCAGCCACTTCAAACCAAACCACTGAGATTCAGCTCCCAGTCATCTGTTCAACATTTCATACTTTGTTCGAACAGAGAAGTTAATATTCACTTTTATTAGCAGACGGCGCACGTTTCCCTCTCTGGGCACAAATGTGGAGAACTTCGCAACCCTCTCTCTCTCTCTCTCTCTCTGTCTCACAGGTTCAGTTATTCTGAATAGTCTGACCCCACAGGTGTTCTCTGTGACCCATGCCGAACACCCTGAAACATGACCTTTGACCTGACCTTTGCAGGGCCCTCTGATGACCTCCAGCTGGGGGTCACGACATTTCGCTCTCAGGAACTCGCAGCGCGACGAGAAAGTCCGACCATCTGAGGCGCAGAGAGGTTTACGAGGAGCTCCGGTACAGTCGGTGTTACACTCCTTATCCTGATCCACGCGCAGGAACTGCAGACAAACACAGAGAGAGGAAAAAATACAGACGTGATAATTCAAATAAGTATCATAGAGGAAAAAACAAGCAGGTCAAAAGTTCTAATTGTAAAATAAACATCTGGAGGAACAACAGGTCTGTCACCTGACTGGGTCTAACCCCCAATTTTCACCGCATCCAGAACAGCAGCGATTTTTGCCGTCTGCCAATTCCTACCGTTGGATCTGTTTGTGAGGTGAATTTCGCAGCGGATTACGATCAGCGGGAATCGAGAGAACTCACAAGAACCCGCGGATTCACGTGCAATTGTGCGATAACAAGTTGTCTCTATAAATACAGACACATAGACATATAAGCAGTAGATTGTGTCCTTCCAGAGGAGGAAATCTACTTCTAGACTTCTAGAATGAGCATCTCCTCATCCATGGTGTCATCGGGGTGAAATGACTAAAGGACTAAAGAAGTCCTCAGCAGGCTCTCCTGCCTCCATGTTTGCTTCTGTCCTCCTCCTCTCTTTGTGTGAGCTCACACCTGTGCAGGTATTCACCTGAGCGGCTTTACCTCAGCTATGAAAGGAGGACACGAACACAGAGGATCACCTGTGTCAACCTTACCTGAGATGAAGTCATGAATGAATGAAGCAGAATAAACTGTGTGTCCAGATTCTTGTTCAAATAGAGTTTCTGTGATTCAGTTTGAATCATTAAAAAAACAAACTTTAAAGCGTGCAGCTGCAGGTTCGAGTCTCATCTGCAAACACGTCCAGGTCTTTGTCTTCTCTTTTCAAAGAATATTTGCACGAATGAAACTCTGAGTCAGCGTTTTGTTCCGATTCTGTAAATGCACCAACATCCCGAAACATCGCCATCCCTGTGGACCAATCACAAACAGGCTCAGACAGACCGTGTACAGGTGAGCTGAGCGGAAAATGGGAAGGGGGGTCACATGCCAATAAATCTGTTTTGGTCGTGTGTGTGTGTGTGTGTGTGTGTGTCTGACAAAGTGTGGTGTGAGGCTCAGAGCTGCAGGGCGGTGTGCACCTGGGAGAGGGAGGATGGGTGGATGACCTTCTGTCAGCCCTGATCATAAATCATAAATCTCCTTTTGTCTGTGTCTGTGTGTGTGTGTGTGTGCATTTCTGTTTAGTGGATTGAGATTGAGAACCTCACCGTACGTTAGTCTGACTTTAAAGGGATATTCCTGCGTAAAATTAATTTAGGGTCAAACACACCGTAACACCGAGTTAGACCCCCCCCCTCCAGAGATGAATGTTGTCGACCGCTTCCTTCTCTAGTTATACCAACTTTAGTAACGACCGCAGGATAGCAATACAGAGAGCCACGCCCCCAACCAAAACGCCACTCTATAGCCACAAATAATGCTCAGAACAGCACCTAACTTCATCAACAGGACATATAGGGTCACAGACATAGTTCTATATTCAGAGTTGTTCTAAGAAAACAAACTTAAGCGGGGGCGTTTCTCCACTTCTGTAGTCTATAAGCTGGGCCAATAAACTTCCACTGTAGTAAAATGAAAAGGTAAAGGTGTTTTTATTGAGCCGAATTATCAATAAAATCATGATTTTGTTAACAGGTATGGATTTATGTGCTGTTGAGTTAATATATTTGAACAAGAGCACAGTAAAGTTAAATCAGCTAATTTTCCAATGAGGTTCTGTTACTGAACGGAACTACACAATGTTCTACACAGGATAGTACATATAGGGTCACAGACATAGTACTAGACACCAAACATCTTTTTAACTTTGACTCATTTCTTTAGCAAAGAGACTAAACACAACTCACCTACTCTCTTCCAGCAGACGCTTGTTTGTAGCGAGACCTCAGGCCAGTCCATTACAGACTACAGCGGGGTGCCGCAGCTCAAGGAAGAACATTTATGATCATTTCTTCATGGAAATGAAATCATAGTTCTTATGTATCCACATATATGAGTTTATTACTGTTATAATCGAGTGGAAATGAGCGCAGATGACCATTTTTAACTTCACGTATTTGCAGGGGAAACACACGTAAACAAACGCGACATTTTATGTGAATTCAAACGCAATTGTTTATCATTAAGAGTGAGGAGACAGCAGGAAGGTGAAGAGAAATCAGTCAAAACCAAATACCTGAGACAAAGGAGGACTCAATGGTCGATGTATGTTATTATCCAGGTCGTGGAAAAGAAGCGAAAGAAGTTCAAATTGGACTCATTTCACAGATTGCCACTTAGACAAGGCCGAGGTATAGTTAAACGCACATACACGCCAACTGAGACGCTATGGCAGAAGAACTACCACATCTGGAGTGGAAAATGATCAATATGGTGATTATTACTTCAAGGAAATGATAAAGAAATGATCATAAATGTTCTTCCTTGAGCTGCGGCACCCCGCTGTAGTCTGTAATGGACTGGCCTGAGGTCTCACTACAAACAAACACTATCCTGCGGTCGTTACTAAAGTTGGTATAACTAGAGAAGCAAGCGGTCGACAACATTCATCTCTGGAGGGGGGGTCTAACTCGGGGTTACGGTGAGTTTGACCCTAAATTAATTTTACAGAATTTCTCTTAGAGGAATTCCATGTGGATTCCAGTTGAACTGATGTGGAAAGTCCAGTTTCTGTCAGACTGAGGTCTGCTCGGCTTCGAACCCTTGTCTCTTTGCTGCTGCTCTCCCTGCCTCAGGCTTTGCTGAACTCACTGTGTATGAAAAAGGACTCATCTTAGAGAAAGTGGTCTGACTGGACCTCTGACCTCTCCTCTGCACACTCAGACCACCCAAATACTCAGACAGCGTCTTCGTCCTCTCTATAATCATCGTCCTCATCATCCTCATCAGCAGCTCCTGCAGACTGACGGCTCTCACAGAGTCATTCAGCGGCTCAGCGGCCCGCTCAGTGTCCTCTCAATCGACCAGCAGAGTTGAAATAAAGCTTTAAACTCAGAGGAACAGACTGTGGAGACTCAGCCAGAGAGACGAGACGTTAAATAAAGCTTTAAAGTCCGAGAGACGGTCAGCCGTGAAATCAGCCACCCAGAATCTGCCAGGAAAACAGACGACAACGTGAAGGAGGAGAAAGAGAGCAGCTCTTCCTCCAGTGTGTGTGTGTGTGTGTGTGTGTGTGTGTGTGTGTGTGTGTGTGTGTGTGACCTCCTTCAAACTTTCACCTGATTCATCACGTTGAGACTCAAACAAGACAGAACACAAACTGTGACTCAGATCAGAGCTCCAAGATTTACTCATCCACTCTCTCCCTCTCTCTCCCTCTCTCTCTCCTTCTCTCTCTCTCTCCCTCTCTCTCTCCCTCTCTCTCTCTCTCTCTCTCTCTCTCTCTCTCTCTTTTCTTCCTACTCTCTTTTCCATCTGTTCCTACAAAACAAACATTGGCAGTCGGTGCAGAAAAGGGGGCGGAGTCTGATGATTTTTTTTTAACCAACCGGCACACAAATCAAATCCTATTACCCCCCCTCTCCTGCTGCATTGTGGGATTGAATGGGGTTGGGATGGGTCTCCAGCAGAGTGCACATTGTGGGCTGATAAGGGCCTTCTGGACTGTGGGGCCCCCTCTCCCAGCACCCGGAGGGGCCCCTCACACGGCGGCCTCGCGGGGTCAATGGGGGCCCCGCTGAGAGCCAAGTGGACGTGTTAAACGACTCGGCGGGAGTTTCCTGCGCCGACGCTCGGAGGAGGAGGATCAACGGTCTGCAGGGAGCTGGAAGGAAGAAAGTGACAGCTTCACCTGCTGCTGACTCCATCGGAGGAACAAAAACACGCTCTGATCTGTGACAGATGTTGGCGGGGCGGTCATGTGATGACAAACAGCCTCTGTGGGCAGGTGCACCCGTGAATGAAAGTGTGAAGGGCAATAGAGCCTGTAATTTATATTAAAGCTGCCCTGCAGGCTGGAAGGAGCAGTGATGACGTCCTCCTACCTCTCATCTCACCACAGTGTGAGTGTGTGTGAGTGTGTGAGTGTGAACACACACTCTTCAGAGTCATCAGGATATAAAAAAAGATCAGATCTTTGGCCTGAAGGTGAAATTCTTGTTTGTTTCCCTTTTATCAGAAATTTGGCTTTTGCACCTGAACACCTGAGCGGTGTGTGTCTGTGCCTCACATCAAACACTACACACACACACACACACACACACACACACACTCTGCAAAACTGATGCACCCGATCCTGGAAACTTCAGGAGGTCTGTCTCTTCAGGATAAACCTCCTGAGACGCATCGTCTCGTTTTTAAGGGTGAACTCGCGGAGTGACATCAGGCAGACAGAAACATACAGATGTGTCTTCAACAGGTCTTCATTAAACCTGCAGCAGGTCTGTCTGTCCCTGCAATGAGGCTACAGCAGGTCTGCAGTGATTTTCTAAAGTTTTATTTCACTTTTTAAAAACTGTCTGTGTGAATTCTTTGTTCTGGATGTTGCCGTAAAGTTTTCAGTTAGAAAAACTGCAGCTGCTCCAGAGGTTTGTTTTCCTTCTTTACTGGTTCCACTCATGAACGAGGTCACAAGTTTTGTGGAATTGTGGTTTCCTGGATTATAGAAATAAATGAACAATAAATGTATTAATTTGCACAATCTGCAGTCTGTCTGCAGTGTGTCTGAGATGAGTCTGCAGTCTATCTGCTGCATGTCTGCGGTGTGTCTTCAGTGTCTCTAAGTGAGCTTCTCATGTCTGCAGAGGTTCTTCAGTGTTTCTGCATCATATCTGCACTCAGCCAATAGAATCTCTACATTTGTATGGTCAGTGTATCCAAACTGTGTTGACAGCACATCAACAGTCAGTCTACAGTGTTTCTGCTGCCGTCTGCGCAGTCAGTCTGCAGCTGTTTGCGGTGCACACTCAGTTTGTCTGTGTGGTTCTGCAGCTTGTCTTCACTGGTCTGCAGCACATCGATGGTATTTTTGCACCGTGACCATAGAGCTTTAGATTTGGTCAGTTTAGTAGTTTACACATTTTTACACAGCTGCAGGGTTTTCTGGAACAAAAAGGGGCGTGAGCAGTTAAAGCTGAAGATCACAGAGTCTAAAGTGAGCGTTAAAAACCCTCCGAGTGAAGTCGGTGTGAATATAGCTGATAAAAAAAAACATGTTTACACTCTTAGGTCAGTTTCTCCCACATCAGTCAGCACTAAAATGATGTTTAAATGATTCATAATGTCTGTATTTATGGAAAATCAAAATTTGATAGAAAACTTCAGAAGTTGACTTTCATTCTGTGATTTTCCAGTTTGTGTCGATTTTGGCGCCCCCTGTGGACAAAGGTGTGTACTTATGACTTCTCTTCATCTTTAGATGCGGAGGTTGAATCTTTGGGGTAAATTAATTTACTTCTCCCCACTTTTACAGTCAAATGTGACGAAAAGTTTGTGATTATTTTCTGCAGATTGAAACTGTCGGTGCTCTTCAAGGTCAGACTGAGGCGTCAGTATCAGCTGCAGTTTACTCCAGAGTAACTCAGAAACCCCTTAGAGGAGCTTTAAAGGTTAATAACTCTATAAACACACTGAATTCATCATATCTGATCCTAAAATCAAACTCCCCCTCAGCCGATTGTTGATATTTCCTGATTTTACGCACAGACTTGACGCTTAGATCCGTCCCTCCAGACCGTCAGCCTCACCTGGACCTGACTGAAGATCTTACTGAGACTCACTCTCTGATACCTGCTGACCCATGTGAAGGTCCGTGAGGGACCTGAGGAGCTTCTTACCGTGAGAGCCGAGAACTTCTGAGCGCGCGCGGCGCACAGCAGACAGAGGAGCAGCAGCGGACAGACGCGCATCCTGACGCAGCGCGGATCTGAAGTCTCCAAATTACGCAGAGTGATCCAAAGTCAGAGTGAGCTTCTTCTACAACACCGAGACTCCGAGAGGGACTCCGGGGGAGGAGTGAAAATGAGCAGAATCCACAGCAGCTCCTGTTTGAAACGGTCCACGGAGGAGGGAGAGGTGCTCGCTGGTTCGTCTCACTTCGCCGTCTCCTCCTCAGCGTATGCAGACTCTCTCCTTATTCCTCCCCCTGTGGCTCTGACCTCCCCTCTTCCTCTTCCTCTTCCTCTTCCTCTCTCTCCTCACTCACTCTCTGCTCGGATGCAGAATGATCCTCAGTTGGAGAGGAGAGGGACTCGTCTGCTGCTGCCTGAAGGAAACACGTCAGGGAGGCTTTTCTTCACCTTTTCTTCTCTCCTCCTCCTCCTCCTCCTCCTCTCCTTAACAAGTCACCACAGTGATTCTCTCTCTGCTTTCTGTCTTTCTCTTGTTTTGAGAAGCTCCTGGTGACGTTTGAGTTTCGGAGGAAGGAAAGACGAACAAGTGGAGAAACAGTGAGAGAGAGAGAGAGAGAGAGAGAGAGAGAGAGAGAGGATTGAACAATGAAGATGCTCGATAAATTACAAATATAATAATCAAAATCTTGAATTCTCTCTTTTGTTTAAATTGAATGTTTGATATAATGATATAATTCTGTCAGATCACCTGGACAGGTAGACTCATTAAAGAAAGTTAATCCCTCTGATTTGATTGGATGTGATGCTCCTATGACCCTCTGGTTTTTCTGTTTTACTAACACAGTGAACTCCTACAGCTGTAGCTCCCCCTGGTGGTGATAACCTGCATGAACGGCTCAGTCTTTGACCCTTATATATGTAGGTTCATTATAAACTTCCCTCACTGCTCTGGTCTGTAAAACACGTAAAAGGAAAACCAGAGAACAACACAAAGTTTTCAGTCCTTGTGCCTTTTTTTCTTTTTTAATCTGCACCATTTCTTTTTTTATTTGCAGCAAACTTGTTTTTTTTCTGCATTCCTTTTATTTGCAGCAGTGGCAGTTTTCGGCCACCATAGCAGTCTCATCCCAGAATCTTGGGTTTATTTAAAACATAAAAACTTCATGTTCGTGTTTTTCCACCTTTAATGATCATGTTTTGGGTTCAAATCGTCAGGAAAGTTGATTTTTATCGCTCCTGTTTTACTCAGTTTACTCAGTAGGTGGCAGTAATGCACTTTTGCGCTGGTTTAACCAACGGCACTAAACAACGAAGAAGAAGAGCAGGATTTGTCCTTTCCGCTTCCGGTGATGTTCAGCGCCAGCTGCGTGGTTTAGCTTTCTGTGCTAACAGAGGATTTTAATATTTACTCCTATTCATCTTCATCTTCATCAAGATGTCCTACCACGACGAAGAAGAAGTGAGTTCACCTCTCTGTCTGTCTGTTTGTCTTTTTGTTCTGGTTTTAATAACACGGTAGAAACAGTTACCGGCTGATTTTAGCCTGTTAGCCTATTAGCATGTTAGCTTCATAATGGCAGAGATGATTATTTATCAGGTAAAAACTCACCTGAATTAAAATCTTAAGGTAGAGAAATCTATAGAGATTATTTTAAAATAATCTGGTTTGGCCTTCATCTGCAGGGAGATTATAATCTAGAGACTTAAACTATCAGTCTGACAAAAACATTAAAGGTTTAATCTCCAGGAAAGTTCAGATTAATCTAAACATGTCAGTGGGTAAAAATGATGTTTATTGTCTGGGTTCATTATGACTTATTAAAATGACCTTCAGCCCCGTTTTAACTGAGCTTTCAGTTTTTATCTTTCCATCTTTTCCTCAACAACCTCTCACTCTGCTCCTTTTTCACAGTACGACCCTTACTCCTACACCAACGACTACGACCTGCACACAGGTGAGTCTGCACACGCCCCCTCACCTGAAGATGATGTCACAGTATTAAATACATTTCTGTCAGTCAGAGGGTTTATAAGGTCCTTTCCTGCTCACCTGTCAGGTGTGCTGCATGACACTAAACTGTAACATCAGCCCCGCCTCTGACCAGACAAACAGCCAATCATAATTCAGGAAACAGATTTTAGCACAGACCCTGGAACAACATGAACAGGTGTGTGATAATGACTCCGCCTCCTCAGGTGACCCTAAAGCTGACCTGGCCTATGAGCGTCAGTACGAGCAGCAGACCTATCATGTGATCCCCGAGGTGATCAAGAACTTCCTGCAGTATTTCCATAAAACCATCTCAGACCTGATCGACCAGAAAGTCTACGAGCTCCAGTCCAACCGGGTGTCCAGTGAGAGCATCGAGCAGAAGATCTACGAGATCCAGGACGTCTATGAGAACAGGTGAGGTGGCCTGAAGGTGGAGGTGTGATGAAGACGTTTGAGACTTTGTTTGTTTGTTGGTTTGAAACTCGTCACACTGAGTGTCTGTCTGAGAAATCTTTGACTTTTCTTCAGCTGGAATAAACTGACGGACCGATTCTTCAAAAACTCTCCGTGGCCTGAAGCCGAGGCCATCGCATCGCTGGTGGGAAACGGTGAGGAGATCCTCCACCATCCTCACACAGACACACACAAACCTGAACGTGACTAAACACACTGATCAGCTGCAACATGAAGAACGTGAGACGTGAATCTGTGTGCAATGATCTCTGTGTGTTTGTGTGTCTGCAGATGCTGTCTTCCTCATCCTCTATAAGGAGCTCTATTACAGACACATCTACGCTAAAGTCAGCGTGAGTACCTGAAGACTCCGGAGCTTTGGTTCCACCTAACAGTCCACAACAGTTTGGTTCCACTCCGAGTTTCCTCGGTCTGAAGTTTGTTAAGGTTACAAAATAACAGATGGTTCCCCTCTGTTGGAGGACCAGGTGTTCTTATCAGGTGGAAGTAGATCCTCTAAGAAGCAGAAGAAGGATCTGATCTCTTCTTATTGGATCAGACACATTATAAACTTTTATGAACCATTTTATGGACGTTAGAGTCGTATCAGGGGATGTTTTCAGGAGTTAGACAGGTGTCTGGGTTTAACAGTGAGATTTAAAGAGTTAATCTGAGGAGACAGAAGAGGCTGCAGAGGGAGATTAAACAAGAGGAGACATTTTTATTATTGAATAGACGACATAACGACCAGATGACTTATAACTTTTACAACTTAAAGGTGTTGTAGTTCAGGATCTGAGTTAGTCCCAGTTTTTAGGAGAAATCTTGAATGTAAACTCTACCCCTCCAACCAGTTTTCCCCTCAGCTCCTCCCCTCCCTCTCTTAAGCCCCGCCCACAAACAGACGCTCCTGCTCGCTCGTATCGTTCCGATTAAATTCAGATATAATGCAGATAAATCCTTCAGATCATTACAAATGGGGCCCAGTCAAGGTGAAAGTCAAAAGCATTGGTGCTACTGTAGATGCCAACAGACTACCAGCAAACACAATGTTTGCAGGACTTCTACAACGAGGATAAAGTGACATAGTCCAGGACCCGAGGGAGGACAGTTTAGCGATGGCGCTACAACACGCTACAGCAGGTCCGTTTGACAAGAAACACTTCTGTTACAGACACTTGTCTTACTTTGTTAAAGCGGTTTACCTGTCCAGCAGAAAGGTTACAGGGTCACCAAGATCCCCAAGCGTCCCCCATCGTTGATGTTGACCCGGCTTTTTAGCTCTTGTCCGGTCTACCTCCGTTTTAAGCGCCTGTTATTCCTCCAGAGTCTCCGGTATTTACTTTGTTTTCTTGCTTGTGTCGGCAGTCGTGGCCAAAGGAGGATTCAGACAATTTTCCGAACTTTCTGGTTGGTTTCTACTGTCCGATATTGTAGCACGCTAACTTTGTTTGGGCTCCTGAACGACACGGGGGAGCAGCGTCTGCCTCACAACCAATCAGGTTAGAGGAGGTGGAGAACGGCTTTGTTTACAGTCAGAAAGAGCGGACCGCTCAAAAATGTTCAAATGTTGACGACACAGACATAAGAGAACACAGAGATATCGATATATTACCAAATAATCAATAACTAATAACTATTGACTGATATTCAAAGAGTTTTGTAAATACAAAATAAAAAGATGCTTCTTTAACAGATTCCTGACCTTTAACTTCCTCTCTAAAATAAAATGAAGATGAAACAGAGAAACAAACATCCAAAATTTACCTGAAGGTACAAATAAATTAACCTTTGACCTTTGACACACTTCAGGGACCATCTGTACTGAAACAAACTGGACCTCTGTGGTGTAAACATGTTTAAAAACCTGTTAAAAGCTTTTAAAGTTGATGTTTGAACATGTTTCCTTCTCTGATCTTCAGGGTGGACCAACTCTGGATCAGAGGTTTGAGTCGTACTACAACTACTGCAACCTCTTCAACTACATCCTGAGTGAGGAGACCAACAAACATACACACATGATACACACATAATACACACACAGTATCAGCTGATCACTGGAGAGTGTAATGACAATATCTGACCTTCAACAGACGCCGATGGCCCCGCCCCCTTGGAGCTTCCTAACCAATGGCTGTGGGACATCATTGATGAGTTTATTTATCAGGTCAGTAGTTTTGTGATTCCTGGTCCTTCGTCAGTTTAAAATCAGTTTGTTTGAAACGATGCGAACGCCGATCATGTGACCGCGTCTGTTTCCCGCCTCAGTTTCAGTCGTTCAGTCAGTATCGCTGTAAAACGGCCAAGAAGTCCGAGGAGGAGATCGAGTTTCTGAGGAACAACCCAAAGATCTGGAACGTCCACAGCGTCCTGAACGTGCTGCACTCGCTCGTCGACAAGAGCAACATCAACCGTCAGCTGGAGGTCTACACCAGCGGGGGTGAGGAGGGGTCCGTCTGTTCGGGAGGGCGGGGCGTTAAAGTCTTTATTTACTGAAGTTAGAGGCTGAAAGAGCTCAGAGTGAAGGTGCTGCTCGCTCTGACGTGTTTTCATCGTGTTGTAGGAGATCCGGAGAGCGTCGCCGGGGAGTACGGACGCCACTCTCTGTATAAGATGTTGGGATACTTCAGTCTGGTGGGTCTGCTCAGGCTGCACTCTCTGCTGGGGGATTATTATCAGGCCATTAAAGTCCTGGAGAACATCGAGCTCAACAAGAAGGTAAATCACATACACACACACACACACACACACACACACACACACACACACACTGAATATGATCGGAGGCGAAGGAGGCGGGACCTTCCCCTTCCGCCCTACGAAGAAAATATCACATACAGGACCTTCGATTTATTTATTCTGCATGTTTTAACGTCCCTCTGCTGCCCCCTATCTGTCTGGCAGAGCATGTACTCCCGTGTGCCCGAGTGTCAGATCACCACCTATTACTATGTGGGCTTCGCTTACCTGATGATGAGACGCTACCAGGACGCCATCCGAGTGTTCGCCAACATCCTGCTGTACATCCAGAGGACCAGGAACATGTTCCAGAGGTCCACGTACAAATATGAGATGGTAACGCAAACACACTCGGAGGTTTTTTATTGGACAAATTCAGTCTCCGGTGTTTGTGAAACCATGGTAACGGCCGCTGCTGTGATCTAATCTCTCCTCAGATTAACAAACAGAACGAGCAGATGCACGGCCTGCTCGCCATCGCCCTCACCATGTACCCCATGAGGATCGACGAGAGCATCCACACCCAGCTCAGAGAGAAATACGGAGACAAGATGCTGCGCATGCAGAAAGGGTGAGACGAGTGTTTCTGCGGCTCAGTCACTCAGTACCCGTGAAGATCTGTGTCACATGACCTTCTGTGTTTTCGGTCTCCGCTCAGGGACTTGGCCGTGTTCGAGGAACTCTTCAGCTTCGCCTGTCCAAAGTTTTTGTCTCCTGTCGTCCCGAACTACGACAACGTTCATCCAAACTACCACAAAGAGCCGTTCCAGCAGCAGCTGAAGGTGTTCGCCGAGGAGGTGCAGCAGCAGGCGCAGCTCTCCACCATCCGCAGGTACAGACAGAGGTCAAAGGTCACTCTGTGGGTGAACCTCCATCCCAGGAGGTCCTCATGTTTTCTCCTTGGAGTCCATCGTCTATTGTAACAATGCATCAATGTTCTTACTAAAGAAGTGAGGGGAAAAAAACGAACCCAGTCAGTTTGTTTTTACGGTTTCAATTAAAGCAGCTGTGAAAACCTTTGGATTTGTGCCGATTCTGGCGCCCCCCTGTGGACAAAGTGAAACTTCTGATCTATGTACATGTGAAAGAAGTGCTTTAAGACAAAAACAATATCCTGTCGTCTGACACAGAAACAAGTAGAAAGAGAAAAGATGACAAGAAAACGAGAAATTATCGACTTTATTCCTGAGGGTCACAAAGAGGAATCAGCGTCAGTGTTCGTCTGCTGATGTGCTCACAGTCTCTCCATCCCTCGCAGAGACCTCCTGACTGGGCTCTGTAGTAACACATGCTGTCTGTCTGTCTGTCTGTCTGTCTGTCTGTCTGTAGCTTCCTGAAGCTCTACACCACCATGCCTGTGGCAAAGCTGGCCGGGTTCCTGGACATGTCTGAGCAGGAGTTCAGGATCCAGCTGCTGGTCTTCAAACATAAGATGAAGAACCTGGTGTGGACCAGTGGGATCTCAGCTCTGGATGGAGAGTTTCAGTCGGCGTCTGAGGTCGACTTCTACATCGACAAGGTGAGTCAGAGACGGCTCATGTTTTCAGCTCATGAAGATTCATGAAGCTCCAGCTCTCGCTCTTCGTGTGTCATTGATGATCTTTCTCTCTGTTAGGACATGATCCACATCGCCGACACCAAGGTCGCTCGACGTTACGGAGACTTTTTCATCCGACAGATCCACAAGTTTGAAGAGGTGAGCTGGGATTTATTATCCTCTTACAGATGTTAGTCCCTGGTACAGTGTGTGTGTGTGTGTCAGAGTCTGAAGTTCTGCTCTGCCTTCCAGTTGAACCGGACTCTGAAGAAAATGCCGCTCAGTGGCTCGTCTGCAACGTCTAGCAGCTCAACCAACCGCGGAGTCTGAGCTCAGAGACCTGCAGGGATTTAATAAACTGTTAAAGATGAAACTTTTCTATGTAACTCAGAAACAATAAAGAGATGGAGCCATGCTGAAACTGTGCATTTGTGTTTTATGAATGACCACTAGAGGTCAGTGTTTACCGCAGCAGCACTTGAACAGATTTAAATGAAGGGATTTACCTGGAAGGAATCTTAAGTTTTCCTCATAGCTGGAAATTAAATCGTAGTAAAGTATGATAAAACATCATAAAACAGTATAAGAAAAAGGATATAATGTAGTATGATAAAAAGATGTCATAGTATACTTAGTCAAAAAATATGGAATAGTATTTTTAAAATGTTATCGTAAAGTATGTTAATCTCAGTAAAGTATGATCAAAAAATATAGTAAAGTATAATGAAAAAATCTTAGTATGTCAAAAAAAATGTCACAGTACAGTACGAAAAAAGGCAGTATAGTATGTTATGTCAAAAATTTGTCATTGTACAGTATGTTAAAAAATATAGTATACTATGTTAAAAAATATCAAAGTACAGGATGATAAAAGATGTCATAGTATAGTATGATGTATAAATGTCAGTATAGTTTGATAAAAAATTGTCATAGTATAGTATGATAAAGAAGGTCATAGTATAGTATGATATAGAAGGTCATAGTATAGTATGATAAAGAAGGTCATAGTATAGTATGATGAAAAATGTCATAGTATAGTATGATTAAAAAAATTTCATAGTTTAGTATAAAAAATGTCATAGTATAGTATGATAAAAAATGTCATAGTATAGTATGTTTATAAATGTCAAAGTACAGTATGATAAAAAAATGTCCTAGTATAGTATGTCAAAAAATCCTAATATAGTATGTTAAAATATGTCATAGTATAGTATAATTAAAAAAAATGTCATAGTATAGTATGATAAAAAAATGTCATAGTTTAGTATAAAAGATGTCATAGTATAGCATGATTAAAAATGTCATAGTATAGTATGTCAAAAAAAGTCATTGTATATGTTTAAAAATGTCAGTATAGTATAATTAAAAAAATGTCATAGTTTAGTATGATTAAAAAAATGTCAAAGTATAGTATGATAAAAAAATGTCATAGTATAGTATGATAAAAAAATGTCATATAGTATAGTATAAAAGATGTCATAGTATAGCATGATTAAAAATGTCATAGTATAGTATGTCAAAAAAATGTCATAGTATAGTATGTTTAAAAATGTCATAGTATAGTATGTTTACAAAAAAATGTCATAGTATAGTATGATTAAAAATGTCATAGAATAGTGTGTTTAAAAATGTCATAGTATAGTATGTCAAAAAAAGTCATAGTATAGTATGTTTAAAAATGTCATAGTATAGTATGACAAAAAATTGTCATAGTATAGTATGATTAAAAATGTCATAGTTTAGTATGATTAAAAAAATGTCATAGTTTAGTATAAAAGATGTCATAGTATAGCATGATTAAAAATGTCATAGTATAGTATGTCAAAAAAAGTCATTGTATATGTTTAAAAATGTCAGTATAGTATAATTAAAAAAATGTCATAGTTTAGTATGATTAAAAAAATGTCAAAGTATAGTATGATAAAAAAATGTCCTAGTATAGTATGTCAAAAAATCCTAATATAGTATGTTAAAATATGTCATACTATAGTATAATTTAAAAAATTGTCATAGTTTAGTACGATAAAAAAATGACATAGTATAGTATGATAAAAAAAATGTCATAGTATAGTATGTTTATAAATGTCATAGTATAGTATGATTAAAAATGTCATAGAATAGTGTGTTTAAAAATGTCATAGTATAGTGTGTTTAAAAATGTCATAGTATAGTATGTTTAAAAATGTCATAGTATAGTATGTTTATAGTATGTTTTATAAATGTCAAAGTATAGTATGATAAAAAATGTCAAAGTATAGTGTGATAAAAAATGTCATAGTTTTGTATAAAAAATGTCATAGTATAGCATGATTAAAAATGTCAGTATAGTACGTTTATAAATGTCATAGTATAGTATGATAAAAAAAATTTCATAGTATTGTGTGATAAAAAATGTCATAGTTTAGTATAAAAGATGTCATAGTATAGCACGATTAAAAATGTCATAGTATAGCATGATTAAAAATGTCATAGTATAGTATGTCAAAAAAAGTCATAGTATAGTATGTTTAAAAATGTCATAGTATAGTATGACAAAAAAATGTCATAGTATAGTATGATAAAAAATGTCATAGTATCGTATGATTAAAAATGTCATAGTTTAGTATGATTAAAAAAATGTCATAGTTTAGTATAAAAAATGTCATAGTATAGCATGATTAAAAATGTCATAGTATAGTATGTCAAAAAAAGTCATAGTATAATATGTTTAAAAATGTCATAGTAAAGTATGTTTATAAATGTCAAAGTACAGTATGATAAAAAATGTCATAGAATTATATGTTGAAAAATGTCTTAATATAGTATGTTAAAATATGTCACAGTATAGTATGATAAAAAAATGTCATAGTATAGTATGATAAAAAAATCAAAAGAAAGTATGTGAAAGTATCATTATATAGTGTGTTAAAATAGTTATGCTAAGGATGCTCCAGTACGTCATTACGTTCCCTTAAAATGGCACCAAAATGATTCTGAACACAGCAATGAAAATCAGTTTGACTTTATAACTTCAAGATTCATCAGATTTTTTTATGTTTCAACAACCATTTTCCAACAGATACAATCTTATTGAAAACACATCCAATATTTCCTTTACACAGACTCTAAATTCATGCTTCTGTCTCACACCATTGCATATTTGTTTTATTATCACAGATCATCCAACATTTCCCAACACAGACCTCAGGACTGGGGACGATAATGACAAAGAAATAAAAACTTACAAAATGGGAATATAAAAACGGAACTTTAGAAACACGGCACTCTTCAGAAACATTTCCATACAAAGAAAGAAAAACGAACACATACATCACCAAATCACGAGATACACATACCCCAGACATCCAAATATATTCTTACCTGTTTGGTAAACCAGCTCTTCTTCAAAAATATCTTTGATTAATCACATTTTCTATCAAATAAAAAAATAAAGGAAATGTTGTGACTCTTTGTTTCCATCAGGTGGCAGTGTGGAGTCTGTGGGCTCAAAGCCGTCTTTATAAAATTCTCTTTTTATTCCATCTATAAGACTTTTTTTTTTTCACTGCCTTTAATATCAAATTTATGTTATAAAATGTTTTTTTTTATTTTTATTTTAATCTTCAGCGTTCATCGGAGAGTCTCTGAGAGGAGGAGTCCACGCTGACGATGAAGAGATCAGCTTTGAACCGTTTCCTCGGTTTATATAAAATCCTCTTTTTTTTTAAACTATCACAGTTCTTGAACACAGGTAAGAGCTCCTCTCCTCACACACCTGCTGTCAGGTGAGAACAGCTCCTGGAAAAGAGTCAGAGCTGCAGTCGGTGATTGACGTTCATTTTCAATTTACCAACAACTAAAGTCTCACAATCATCCAAAGTCCAGGTTGGTTGTTTTAACGGCCGTCCGCTGGTCTGAGCTCGGGTTTTTCTGTGTGTGTAAATGTGTGTGTGTAAATGTGTGTGTGTGTGTGTGTGTGTGTGTGTGCTGTCCAGGTGCAGCATCAGTGAGGATGAGGCACCTGTCAGGTTAAATAAGCCCCTCCCACAGGAGGTTCAGTGCACTCTTTGGATGGAGGTCGATGACAGTAGCTGGTTGAATAAACTCCGCCTTCATCATATGATCATGTGATCCTCTCTGACCAATCCCATGCTGCAGACTGTCAGCTGATTGGTTAACTAGACTACACACACTCCTCCTGCGTCCTCTCAGGCTTCCTGATGGGGGCGCTGTGGAGCCAGGAGTCGCCCTCAGACCAGCGAGGCCTCGGCTAGTCATAACTCCGTGATCTCCAGCGGACTCTCCGACAGGATGTCGCCGTCTTTGTGGCGGTGCAGCGGCGTGGACTTGGCAGACTCGGTGCGGGCGTTTCGTTCGGAGTACAGCCCCCCGTCAGTGTTCAGAGCCTCCAGAGAGCGAGCCAGAGCGCGCTGGTCATCCTCCGGCAGGCTGTTGAGGTCGGAGGTCAGCAGGGTTCCTGTGCTTCCGTGGACCACATGCACCCCTTCAGGACCCTTCAGCTCCACAGGAAGCTTGTGTTTGAAGCGCAGAGTGCCACGACCGCCGCCAAGACGCTCGTCCTCATCATCGTCCAGATCGCTCTGGATCAGCTGGAGAGAAAAGAGAAGAAGACGTGAAAACGAAGAGCAAACTATGAGAACTCAGGATCGCAGTCCCAAAGGGTTCGGGGAAGATGTGTGAAAAGATGATAAGAACAGGACGGTCGTGGAATTATTTAGAGCCCAAAATTAATTTATAGTCGAGCAAAACAACAGAAGAAGAACTGGGACTCATTACTGTTACTGTTTAATGAGAAACCTCCAGTCCTGGTTCTGGTTCTGGTCCCTTTAGTCCAGAGATTTCTCCAGATCCTCTGATTCTTTGAATGTTCTGTAGACGATGAAATCCACTCAGACTGTTGAACTGTTCGCTCACGCGGTCTCTTACAGAGTCCTGAACCTCTTCCATCCTTTCTTTTAAGAGACTCCATCTCTCTGAATGTCCGTCTTAGACACGGTCATGTGACTAACCTGTTGGACATTTACCTCATTACCCCCAATTTTCATCGCATCCAGAACAACTCTGATCTGGAACGGTGGCAATTTTTGCCGTCCGCCAATTCCTACCAGATCCGTTTGTGAAGCGAATTTCGTGGAGGATTACGGATAACAGTAATCACGAGAACTCACAAGAACCCGCAGATTCACATTCAATCTCACGATAACGAGTTGTCTCTATAAAGACAGACACATAGACATATAAGACATATAGCTGAATTTATCCGCCATGCTCCGGCGTCCAGAAAAAATAGAACTCTTGAGATCAGCTGAGGAGTCCGGCGATCCGCAGAGGAACAGAAAGAAGTCGGTGTAAATTGACACGTTAACTTGAATGGTTACGATCAGCTACGATCGGAGGATACGACCTTTTAGGAGACGATCAGGATG